TTACGCCCCACCTGAAGGCGGCCCTATGGGGCTAACAACTATCCTCATCTTTTGACCCATTAAATTAACAAAACACCTTCAAAAGTGTAACAACTGATTTATTGTGACAAAGTAACAAAATTACAAACTAAACACAAAGAACCCACAACACAAATGAGAGGCAGCAGGGCAGCAGTTCTCCACCAAATGCCTCTCCAGACTGCAGGCAGCTCTGGGCTTTTAGACTCCCAGCACCAGGTGAGTCTGATTGGCACTCAAGTGATTTCACCTGGGCAGCTATGGAGAGACAAAAAGGGGAAAAACACATGCAAAACAAACACACAGCTGTAACAACCCCCTTATAACTTTTAAAAATGGAGCTTCACAGAAAAAAGAGGACTTGAGCACAAACCAGTCTTAAAGGGTGTTCAGACCAAACGCGACCACGGTGACGTCGGCAACGGCTCCCAATGCAAAGTCTATGGACAGCCACGACCTGACGCGTCTTGGCGACTGCCAGCTGCCTGCGACGCGACCTGATGCGACTTGGCGACCAGGTCGCGCATGGTCGCCAAGTCCGCGACTCCGTGCCGCGACAGCCAATCAGGGCTCTGCTGATGTCAACAAACCGGCAAAGCAAGGAGGAGAAGAAGAAGAATCACCATGGAGGAGTAGTTAATCACTGCCATGAGTTATCACCCTGTCCTGTACGACGTGGGGTGCGCATTTTACTGGGACCGCATCTCCAAGGAGGAGGCATGGGCGAAGGTGGCCCGTAATGTCGGGCTTTCCTGTAAGTTTGTTTGTGTATTTATTTCAGTGAGCGGACTGTTTTATGAAAACATAGCTAACTGCCCCTGCTTGCTAGGCTACATGTTTCAACGTATGTGTGTGTGTCTTTTTAGTGGATGTGTGCCGCAAGCGGTGGAAGGGGCTTAGGGACGTTTATATGAGGGACAGACAGATAGACAGGTGCTCTGAAGCTGAGATGGAGCACCTGTAGTTCGTGTCCTGGCGGGAGATGCTGCTTCCCACCTGGGCGAGGAGGTCCTCGAACTGCGCCGTCGACTCATGGAAATACCGCTGGAAGCGGCCGTCGTCCAAGCGGAGTTCCTGGAGCAAGCAGTGAAATTCACCCAGCTCCGTCCAGATGGTTTCATGCACCCATAAACGCTAGCGGGGTCTACTGTGGATGTACAGATATGCGGCAGCACAGAGGGCGATGAACTGAAAACTGAGCTTGTAATGTTCTCATGGGTGACGTCACCGGCGACCAGCCGCGACCTGCGACTGCAGCTTTTGACCTGCTGTGAACACACCAGGGCACGACTTGACGCGACCTGAAGGAGCGACGCGACCTGGTCACGTTTGGTCTGAACACCCCTTTACAATAACTACATGTCAACATCACAAGCAGTGGGAAAAAAATTATGTTCTGTGTAATAAATTTCTATAGTTTGTCCACAGCTCCATAAGCTTTGCTGGCAGAGGTGGGATTTACGACCTATACTGCAGCCCATCAACAGAGGGTGCTGTTCTCAGAGTGGCTTCACCCCACGAGGAGGCAAACGGCGTCCAGTCTATATACAGTCTATGGAAACAGCTCTTAGTTATGCTGCTTTAGGTCTAGACTGCCGGGTTATCTGGCACACTGAGCTAGAGTCTGTCTCTGTCTTTACTTTAGATCTTTTTGTCCCATATAAGTCACTGACCAGATTTCTGTCTCTCTGAGTGTCTCAGAGTCTCTTAGCTTTCACTGGACTAATGCTGCAGACGGTCTGGTGTGGAACTGCCTGACCCCAGCTGCATAATCCCTGATTGTCCACCTTGGGCCCTGAGCTCCTCCATCTCTTAGGCTCCTCTGGACCATTGCTGCAGACACCCCCTGCCCCTTGGTTGCTCTGGACTGATGGCTGCTGCAAACCTGCCTGACTCTAGCCGCATCGTCTACGATTGTCCACCCTGAGCTCCTTCTTCTCTTGGATTCCTCTGGACTGTGACTTCAGACATGAACGTCAGCCTCACTGACATTAATAACATAAAACTAGAGCTGACAGCTGTCTATGATTGTCCACCTCAGGCCCTGAGCTCCTTCTTCTCTTGGATTCCTCTGGACTGTTACTTCAGACATGAACATCAGCCTCACTGACATTAATAACATAAAACGAAAGTTACGTATGTAACTACGGTTCTATGAATCCCGAATGACCGCCAGAGGCGGTGCTTTAAGCACTGAATATTCCCCTCCCGCATGCGTAGTTCGAGTGTTTATACCAAAATAGTCACCTGTGACCCCCGTATGACCCGGTAGGAGTCTATATCTGTGGGAGTCACCAGGTAATCAGTCCCTACAGAATTTTCTCGCGAAACACGAGGATTCTGAGTGACCCAGTGCTCTGGCGGTCATTCGGGATTCATAGAACTGTAGTTACATACGTAACTTTCGTTCTATTTCATCCCTACTGACCACCAGAGGCGGTGCTTTAAGCACTGAATGACTCATGCCAACATAGTCACAAAGAATCCTGATTACAAACCTTAACAGGTAGAATCGGTCTCCGGGCACAGGACCACCCCCATTGGGTGGGGAGTGGCGACGTTCACCCTATAGAATCTAGCAAATGTGCTTGCTGATGCCCATGAAGCAGCGGCGCAAATATCCCCTAGGGGCACGCCCTTCAGGGCAGCCCATGATGTGGCAACGCTCCTGGTGGAGTGGCACCGTATGCCCGCTGGTACAGGCTGGTTGTCAGCTTCATAGGCCTGGCTAATAGTCTCTACTATCCAGTGGGACAGGCGCTGCTTTGAGAGCGCGTGACCCTTTTTTGGGCCCGAGTGGCTGAGGAATAGCTGCTCAGAACGCCGAATACGTTTAGTAGCCCTGATATAGGCCCTCAGAGCCCTCACTGGGCAGAGCAACTCCATCCTGCCTGTCTCTCCTGGTGGAGCAGTAAACTGAGCCAGCTGTATAGGCTGGTTGAGGTGCGACGCAGACAACACTTTGGGGAGGAAAGCTATATTTGGCCGCAAAGTGACCCCTGACCCGCCAGAGTTCCACCTCAGACATGAGTCGCTCACTGACAAGGCGCGAAGCTCCCCAACACGCCTGGCTGACACAATGGCGAGAAGGAAGGCTGCCTTGAATGACAGCCACTTGAGCGCTGCCCGTGCTAAGGGCTCATAGGGAGGCCCGCATAGGGAATCAAGCACAATTTTAAGGTCCCACGGCGGTACTCTCGGGGCTCTTGGTGGATGCAACCTCCAAGCCCCCCTGAGGAATTGGGTCACCAGGCTATGACTCCCTACTGCGGCATTATCGATCTTAACATGTTGACAGGATATGGCCGCCACGTAGACCTTTAAAGTTGAAGGGGATCTGCCCCTACCTTGGAGGAATTGTAGAAACTCCAGAATTGTTGGGAGAGAACACCGCACTGGATCCTCACTGCGATCATTACACCAGCTAGAAAACAGTTTCCAGTGGTTGGCATATTGCAGCCTGGTGGATTAAACTCTTGCGTTCAGAATGGTGTGCTGAACACCATCTGAGCAGCTGCTCAGCAGCGGTTCGGGCCCTCCAGCAGCCAGACACATAATTTGAGGCGTTGGGGGTTGGGATGCCAGACCCGCCCCCCTAGCTGCGAGAGCAGGTCTCTCCTGTCGGGGAGGCACCATGACCTCCCGTGACAGAGTCGGTGGAGTAGAGGGAACCACGTCCTCCCCGGCCAGAAAGGCGCTATTAGCAGGATGGTGTGACCTTCCTGAAGGACCCTCTGAAGAACGGGCCAGACTAGTGGAAGAGGTGGAAACGCGTAAAGCAGTGCCCGTGGCCATGGGTGAGCCAGTGCATCCTGACCCAGAGGACTGGTTGTCTCTCCTAGAGAGAACCACAGGGGGCAGTGGGTCGAAGCCTCTGAGGCGAAGAGGTCCACCTCTGCCCTGCCGAAGCGACCCCAGATGTGCTGCACTACCTCTGAATGGAGACACCACTCTCCTGGAGGAGGTTTCTGACGAGAGAGGAAGTCTGCCACCTCGTTTCTCTCTCCTGGCAAATGCATGGCCCGAAGACTGGCCAGGCGAGGGGCTGCCCACGTCAGGAGATCTGTGGAGACCTGCAGCAGCCGCCTGGACTTGGTCCCCCCCTGGTGATTCACATGGTAAACGGTCCAAGTATTGTCCGACCGAATGAGTACATGCTTGTCTCTCAGGAAAGGCAGAAAGTGCTGCAGAGCCAGGTGAACAGCCCATAGCTCTAGCAAGTTGATGTGCTCGGCACCATCTTTGGCAGACCATTGTCCGCGAGCCGTCCTGTTCTGCCAGACAGCACCCCAGCCCGTGGGGCAGGCGTCGGTGGTCACGATCTCCCTGCGGGATGGAATGGATCCCATAGGGACACCCCCTGATATAAAGGCCCTGTCCCTCCAACAGGCCAGGGCAAGGAGACACTGCTGTGACACCCTTATTCTCCTGTGCCTGTGCCACTGTGCATCCAAATGAAATCTGTTGAGCCATCTCTGCAGAGGGCGCAATCGCAGCAACCCCAGTGGAACCGGCGGTGTTGATGGGCAATGGGGACATGGAAGTAGGCATCCTTTAGATCCACGGACGTGAACCACTCCCCAGGTGCCACAGACTGCAGTACGTCTGACGTCGTTATCATGTGGAACGGTATAACTTTTAAATATCGGTTGAGTCCCCTGAGGTCTAGAATGGGGCGGAATCCCCCAGTCTTCTTTCCTATTATGAAGTATGTTGAATAGAACCCCCCAGGTTGAGACAGAGGGTCCACGGGCTCGATGGCGCCCTTGGCCAGGAGGGAGGATAACTCCTGGTCCAATATGGTGGCTTTTGCCGGGTCGCCGATGACTGTTGTTTTGACCCGGCCGGTTGCGGGGGGCCGACGTCGGAATTGAAGCTTGTACCCGTGGGTCAGGGTGGAAACCACCCACGGGTCCGAAGCTTGAGCAGCCCAGTACTTGAGCTGCTGATGGGAAAAATATCCGACGGCCGGCCCCGTGGCTTCAGTACTTAGGCCCTCGGCCCCTCGGGGGCCTGGGGGGGGGACGTCCAGGGTCTGGGGAACGAAAGTGCCTGGAGGGCCCAGGAGGCAAGGAGTCAGGAACCCGAGGGTCACGGGTCTGACCCTGCACAGGGCGCTGGGAACGGCGCTGGCCGCTGGAGTAGGCTGGTGTTGGCGTGCTACCCCGTGGGGCATTTGAGCGTCCTCTGCCCCTGCTGGGGGGGGCCCTGTTTGGGGGAGGCATGGGTCGCAGGCCCGCAAGCTGCTGCCTTGTCTGCCCCGCCTGGATTGTCCTCTCCAGCGCCTCCTGTGCAGCTGGGCCGAATATGGTCCCTGGCTCCACTGGGAGAGCACGCAGGGTTCTTCTGGTCTTCTCCGTCAGGGGTGACTGCGACAGCCAGACCTGGCGTCGAGCCTGGACAAGGTAAGACATCATTCGTCCTAGCTCCTGTGACATGTGGCCAAAGGCCTCCAAGGCCGCATCGCAGAAGTTACTGCTGTCTCCGGCTTCCCCGTCTGCTTTGCCTCCTGGACCTGCATCATCCACATGCAGGGAAGCTGAGAGGGCCAACATCAGGTGTGACAGAGAGTTGCCGATGCGACCAGCACGTGCCCCCGAGTCATAGGCTCTGACTAGAAGGTCATCTGTCTGCCTGGACTGGGGCCGAGGGCACCTTGCGTCTTGACGCAGCGACTCATCTGGTGACACGATGAGTGATGCGGCTCGATAGCTGGCATTTTGTCCAGACCCACTGATGTTGCGTCGTGCATTGCCGCCAGGCTGACAGACTGGAGCCAGCCTTTGAGTCTATCCAGCTGGCCTGTAGCTCCCTCAGAAAGTCCTCTGAGTGAGGGACGGTAAAGGATGTAGGCGGTGGCCTGCGCCTGAAAAAGGTGCTTGCAGGAGCTGATCTGGCCTGCTGTGGCGCTGCCACATTCAGCTGCTCCAGGGCCGTGCGCAGTAAGTCGCGCATAGAGGAGTCCTCTGTCACGGCCAGTGAGCTGTAGCTTGAGGAGCGGGAGCCCATTGAGGTCCGGGAGGTACTGCTTTCTCCATCCTCCTCAAACTCGCAGAAATGTGTGGCCGACGCTGCCAGGGAAAGAGCATCCTCTTCCCGGTCTAGATGTGGCATCGGTGGTGTGGGAGCCTCCTCCAATGGGGACTCGGGCCGGTGGGCCTGGGCCATCAGCAAAGCCTTCATCTGTGCCAATTCGGCCGACAGCTGATCCACTTTGGAGGTCAGATTGCGGTCAGGCTTTTTCTTCTTTGAAGGAGGTGCGGCATGATCAGTAGTGGCCTCTGCCCGGCTGCTAGACCTCCTAGACTGGGTTGAAGCCTCAGCCCGCCGCTTCGAGCGTCTAGTCTGGCCTGATGAGAGTTCGCCCTCATCTTCCACTTCTGCCAGCCTGGCAGCCCTCACCGCATAGGGCATGTAGGTGCAATTCATACAGGCGTCGTCACCGAGTGCGTCCCTCAGATAAGCAACCCCGAGGCATCTGGGGCAGAGGTCATGGCCATCATCTGGCTCGAGAGGAGCCTCACAGGAGGAACAGGGGTATGGGCACTCCATGGCTTCCCTGGTTCCTTTATATGAGCGAGGCACAGTGCACGGTCACACGTGTTCGCTTCGCTAGCCGTAAGCCCGAGGGAGGGAGCGCGCACGCTACCTATGCAGGCAGAGGCTGTTTTGTGGGTGGGTCTGTATACAATCGGCAGGAGGGAGGCAGCGCTAACGCTACCTGTATCTGCAGAGGCTATTTGGTGGTGGGTCTATGTCCAACTTACCGGAGGGAGGGAGCGCGAACGCTACCTGTGCCAGCAGAGGTTGATAAGGAAAAGTCGTATCAAAACTAAATATGAAAATAGACTAATTAAGTAAGCTATGAGCTGATAGTCAACTATCCAGCAGGGACCATAACTGGGGAGAGGGGTGCTCACACCCCCTGCCAGTAGAGGCCGTTGTTGTCACGGAGTCAATAAATTCAATTAAATAAAGTACAGATTTTACTTTAAGCTAAGTAAAATTACTGCATTAATATACTCAGTTAATCAGCCAAAAAAAAAACAAGCCTTGACAACAACAGAAGAAAAAAACTAGCCCAAGGAAAAGCTTCCCACAGCTGCCAAGCTACTAGTAGCGGCTGAGGAGCAGCTAACACTAAATGCCAGGAGGAGGGAGCGCGTGGCTGCCTACTCACAGGGCAAGAACAACGAAAAGAGTGCTACACAAAATAGCAACTGAGCCAGAGGCTAAAAAGGCTCCCTATCAACTTTCGGAGCGTTACTTGAAAGAAAAAGACGCTCGACCACCGAGCTAAAGCCTCACGCTGGCTGAAAAGTGCAAAGCAAATCGCTATAACCACAAAAAAAAATGAATATAGTGCAGTGCTCCTTGACACTAATACGATGAGAGCGCTATCGCTATTGTTCGCTTTCACCGCGAACCCGATACTTATGTTGGAGGGAGGCTACGCGAACGCAGCCTATACCGACATAAGAGGCTAACGCGGACAGCGCTGTCAACAACCTTACCTTAGACCCGCGGCGGGGCCGGCGAAACCCATAGCGTTGTAGCTCATCAACAGGTTGATAAAGTTGCAGCTCCTGGAGGGCGAATGCCTCGCTACTCCGACCGATTATATGGTCACGGAACTACTTGCAACGTTTAATCGCATAGAAAAGCAGCTTAGCATTAAGCATAAAGCAACTCGCACGCGAGAAAAGAAAAGGGACTGATTACCTGGTGACTCCCACAGATATAGACTCCTACCGGGTCATACGGGGGTCACAGGTGACTATTTTGGTATAAACACTCGAACTACGCATGCGCGAGGGGAATATTCAGTGCTTAAAGCACCGCCTCTGGCGGTCAGTAGGGATGAAATAGAACTAGAGCTGACTACTATTAGGCCTGCTGACTGTAATCACAATAAATTAATTTAACATTGTCTATAATCACTCATATCCTAACCCTGTAAACTGCACTCATTTTGTTTCACTATTGCATGAGCGGTTGTTGTTGTTGCTGTTGTTTCTTCTGTTCCCTGTCTCTCTCTCTCACCTTCGTTCTCTACTCTCTCTCCCTCCCCCTCCCTCTCCTTACTCATTCTCTCTCTCCTTCCCCTTATCTTGTTCTCTCTCTCTCCCGCTGCCCTCTACCCTCTCCCCTCTGCTCTCTCTCTCTCCTCTCTCTCCCTCCATCTCTCTATATTCCTCCCCAACCCAGCAGCGGCATGGTGGCTGTCTGACATGGCTGGTCCTGCCCAAGGTTTCTGCCTGTTAAAAGGAAGTTTTTCCTTGCCACTGCTACTCATGTTAGTTGAGATGGGCCAAAACCCATCTTTGGTTGGTTCTTGATCATTAAACAATGAGCGTGGTCTAGACCTGCTCTTGTTCTTTGAAAAGCGTCTTGAGATGACGACTGTTTTGAATTGGCACTATTTAAATAAATATGTGGCGGGTTACAGCAGGCCCTACGTCAGATTGAGGTGGCGCCATGAAGAAAATCCAGAAAATACCAAGAGCAATTTGGCTTCAAGTTCGTGTAATAACAGAAGACAGAGCCAAGTAGTAGTAGTAGGGATATGGTCAACTTACTCCATACATGGGGCAAGATGACCATAGGAGACCACTTTTTTTGTCATGTTATATTATTAAGACAGTTCTGTTTACACTCATTCAGGGATGAGCAACATCCTGAAATATATGCAGATTCACTAGTCAGAGACAAAACTATGATTGACTTGATGTAGTGATCCGAAATATGAAAAATGAATCATCTTACCCCCCTCTCCCCTACTTTAACCCAGGCTGGAAAATATGTCTTTTAATCTTTAGCTAGTTGATTTTTCACAGAATTGTGTCCTACTTAAAAGCAAGAAAAATGATGACTCACTGTAATGTACTTTTTATCTTATTAGGGAATACTTTAAGTCTTTAAAACTGGCCAAAAATATTAGTTATGAAATGTGTATGAAATGTTTGGTTGTCTTTGCACCCTTCACATACATGCAGTAGAGTTTTGATGTACCATGATAAAATGAACAGTTTGGGAAAACTGTTTTGAAAGGAAAAAAAAAAAAACGAGCCAAAACAAATGGGAAAACTGTAGCTGGGTTGAAATACATACCATAAAATCATAGTTTCTTATCATTTACTGCACACAAAAATCCTTCAATGGCAACAGAGTAACTACAGTAGGCAGGTGTGCTATAACCTTGAGAATTCACCATCTATTCTGTGGACTTTTTAGATATGCAGGCAGACGTGATTCACATCTGTTGCAACCATCATGAGCGTCCCAGAGACTGATTCATAAAAGAAAGGAGGATTAATAACAGATGTGTCACACCTGAGGCCTGTACTACGAAGCTGGATTAACAAATCCAGGATAACTCTGCGACAACTCGCTCAACTTCACCGGATCTCCGCGATCCCGATCAGCTGTACTACGAAGCAGGATATCAACTCGATAACTTAATCCAGTTCAGATCTGTGCGCGCACACGTAAAGGGGGTCGGGTCAGTGCCACCGGACCAATCTCCACAATGGAGAAGGCTGCACGTCATTTTTCACAGCTGAAGAACAGAGCTTTATTTAAACAGTGAGACAGACACAGCCGCTAAAAGCTGGAGGGACTGCCGGCAAAAAAAATCACTGGTTGTGTAAATTACATTTGCGCGTTCATAAATTTATGGCCCCCTAATATATTGTCATGCAGCGTGTGTGATCACCACCATCACTGACCTCATTATTTAAGATACAACAGCAGTGGGGAAAAGAGTACGTGGGAGCAAATAAAAATAAATCTAAAAACATCCTTTAAAGTAGTTTGTAAGTTTATTGGAAGATTTTATTTGTACATATTTCAACGCGTAAACAGTGATTTCCTCACACTGCCTTTTTTTTTCTCCATCATCTGATGGTCACGTCATCTGCAGACACATTTGGGGTTAAGAGTTTTCTAATCTGCTTCAATGAATTCTGAAAGATGACTAACAAATTTGAACATGGAGCTTGGCAAATTTTAGTGTATTGCTTAGACTTCTTGCTACCTGAATATTGAGGCCGTCCGAGGAAAACCTGTAACGTTCATAGAGAACGTCATCAGGTAAATCAAACGGATTTGAACGATCATGAATATAACGCTCTCGGCGGAGCGCTCCTCTCACTATCCGTGCAACGATGTCCCCGGGATCCAGCAAAAGTGGGCAAGCCATTTTCCAAGAGATCCGATTGGTCATTGGGCGGTTTTTTATACCTGCTGAGATCTTACCCTGAAACATAACCTGCTCCGGAGCAGGTTTGGCGTTCCGCGTAAGTTACCGGGGCAACGGACCCGGATAAAAAGAGATCCACCTTCGTAGTACAGAAAACCCAGAAGTTATCCAGAAGTTACCTCGCTAAGACCAAATCCAGCTTCGTAGTACAGGCCTCTGATCTGAGAGATGTCTGCTCTGCATTTCCGCAACCTTTAACCACAGAGTCACACAACATACAGGTATGGAAACACCACTCAGACGAACAACATGCAGCAACATACAACATCACAGTTTATTGTCATTAAGATCACATTTAGGAAAAGAAAAGGAATAACAATTAGCTAGCAAGACCCCCAAAGTAACACTCAAGTAGAATAGAATAGAATATTCCTTTATTGATCCCCCATGAAGGAAAATTTTTTGTCACAGCAGCATCACAGACAAAGGTAGTGCCAAATGCAGTTGAAAAAATAAAGATCGTAATATTAAGAACTTAAATATGTTATAATTAGGAAAACATTTAGAAAAAGGAAAAATAAATAAAGATCGTAATATTAAGAACTTAAATAAATGTTATAATTAAGAAAACATTTAGAAAAAGGAAAAATAAATAAAATCAAATTAAATAAAACTATATACAATATACAATATACACAATTTAAGTGCCAGAAAAAAAAAAGGTGGTGTGAGTCCAGTTATTGTTACGGTTCGTTGTAAAGTCTTATTGCAGAAGGGAGGAATGACCTGTGGAAGCGCTCCGTCTTGCAAGGTGGGAGTCTCAGTCTGCTGCTGAAGGAGCTGCTTAAAGCCCCCACAGTCTGGGGAAGTGGGTGAAAGGGATTGTCCATGATGGATACAAGCTTTGCTAACAACCTCTTCTCACCCACCTCCTCCAGGGAGTCCAAAGAGCAGTCCAGGGGCCTCATGTATCAACGCTGGCGGCGCCAGAAAACCTTGCGTTCGCCAAGATCGGCGCACATGTCCAGATTTATCATCGCGACACGAGCGTCGGTTCCAGCGCAAATCCACGCAAAGTGAGGAGGTGGTGTAGAAGTTGGTGCTGAGCTGATACTTGTGTTGACAGCACTTTGGCGACGCTGTGTGGCAGTGTTTGGTGACTCACTATGTAACAAGCATTCAAACATCGCAGTGGACCTGCCCCACATGACGAACCAGCAGCAGATGGAGGGATGCGAGCTGATCCCTGCCGGGCCGCCGTCCTCGCGCTGGAGAATCTCATTGCCACAATGTGAATGGGTAAGAAGTGAATACACAGTTCAATGAGCCAAATTAAAATATTTTCTCAATCCCCCTGATGATTTCTTCCTCCGTGAGGACCCTTCCACTGGGTCTGGGTTGCCCAGCGGAAGCGCCGCGGCTGGTGGACGCTCCACCGCTTGTCGGTGTGCTGATGCTGGTGCTTGGGCCGGGGGCCGGTGTGGCCTGAATGCCGCTGGTCCTGGCCGATTACTCAGAGTCGGCGGACGGGCTGCCGTAGGCCAGGGTTCCGCAAGCCGGCAACACGGCCGACACATTGATTTCTGTGACACAATGAAAATATTGGTTCATTTAAATTCCTGCTTCTGTGTATCTGTTGCGTTTACATCTATGGCAAAGCATGTGACACGCCACTTACCCTCTGGAAGGCTGTCTGAGTCGCCGCAGGTAGCAGCGACAACCCCCCCCCACAGAAGCGCCCCCCATAATCGCCACCACCCGCTGCTCAAACGGCGTGAGGGTCTCCTCCCCCGGACCCCCACCTGTCTGGCCGGTACTCCTCCGGAGGGCAGCTGTATGCCGCTTGACCTTCACCTTGAGGTCCGACCACTTTTTTAAAATCTCTGCAGGGGTGCGTGTTTCGGAACCAACTGCGTTCACCCTCTCGCAAACTTTCTCCCACTCCAAGCGTTTTCGTTTTGCATTGATGCCACTGGACAGACTGCCAAACAAAACACGCTGTCGCTCCTCCACCTCTGCCACCAGCACCTCCACCGTGCACGCCGTAAATTTCGTTTTTCTTGTCATTTTGTCTGCATGCGAGGACAGGGAGACCGTATTTAAATAAATCTGCATATTTATAGGTGGGCATAACGGGGATGGGCCCAGTCACTCCGACATCTGCGCTCAATTCCAAGCTGATTGGGATTTATCAAGGAAACACACGTGGCTTTCGGCGCCCGCACACCTATACAATTTTTTTTCAGCATGACGGACCTTGCATGCACTCATTTCCGATATAGGTCCCACGCAAGTGTTGATACATGAGGCCCCAGGACAGAACTAGCCCTCCTGACCAGTCTGTTCAGTCTCTTCCTGTCCCTCTCCGTGCTCCCTGCCCCCAGCAGACCACTGCATAGAAAAATGCAGATGCTACCACAGAGTCATAGAAAGTCCTGAGCAGAGTCCTGCACACTCCAAAGGACCTCAGTCTCCTCAGCTGGTGGAGACGACTTTGGCCCTTCTTGTACAGGATGTCTGTGTTGGTTGACCAGTCCAGTCAATTGTTGAGGTGGACACCAAGGAATCTATAGGACTCCACCATCTCGATGTCCAGACCCTCGATGTTCAGTGGGACAGTCTGAGGTGTCTTCCTCCTGTGGAAATCCATGACCATCTCCTTTGTCTTACTGGCATTGAGCTGGAGGTGCTTTGTGCCACACCAATTGACAAAGTCAGTGATGACAGTCCTGTATTCCCGCTCATCCCCTGATGATACACATCCGATGATGGCTGTATCATCAGAGAACTTCTGGAGGTGACAGCTCCCAGAGCTGTAGCTGAAGTCTGAGGTGTACAGGGTGAAGAGGAAGGAGGAGAGCACTGTCCTCTGTTGAGCCCCCGTGCTGCAGACCGCCATGTCCGACACAGTTCTGAAGCCTCACAAACTGTGGTCTGTTGGTGAGGTAGTCCACGGTCTATGCGGCTAGGTGACAGCCCACTCCCGCCCTCTTGAGCTTCCCCCTGAGCAGTGAAGGCTGGATGATGTTGAAAGCACTGGAGAAGTCAAAAAACATGACCCTCACAGTGCTGCCGGTGTTCTCCAAGTGAGCCATGGACCTCTGCAGCAGGTAGATGACAGCGTCGTCCACCCCGACGTTCGTCTGGTACGCAAACTGCAGAGGAGCCAGATGAGACCTGATCAGGAGGCAGAAGTTCCTTAGCGCGATCCTCTCCAGAGTCTTCATCAGGTGAGAAGTGAGGGCCACAGGTCTGAAGTGGATGGGCTCCCTGGGGTGTGCTGTCTTGGGGACAGGAATCACGCAGGAAGTCTTCCGCAGTGCTGGGACCCTGTCCAGACTCAGGCTCAAGCTGAAGATGTGCAGTAGCACCACACAGAGCTGGTCTGCACAGTCCTTCAGGAGTCTGGAACTGATGCTGTCAGGACCTGTGGCTTTCCTTGGCTTCTTCTTCCTCAGCTCTCTTCTCACCTGGTCAGCTGTTATGGAGAGGCTGGGGGTGTTGCTGGAGGGGGTGCTGGAGGGGGAGGTGGAGGATGTGTGGAGGGGTTTGATGATGCTGGTGCCATGAAACTGAGGTGGTGTGAACAAGAAGCAGCAGACGGGTCGTTGGTTTGATGAGTCAGGGGAGGAGTGGGAGCAGAGTCAAATCTCTTGAAGAACAGATTCAGCTCGTTGGCCCACTCCCTGTCTCCTGCTTCAGGTCCCCTCTCGTGGCCCCTGCTATGACCTGAGATGGATTTCAGGTCTCTCCAGACCTCCCTCGGGTTGTTCTGTTGCAGAAGGTTTTCCATCTTGGTCTTGTAACTGGCCTTCCCCACCCTGATCTTCTTCAGCTTCTTCTACACCCTCCTCAGCTCCTCCTTGTCCCTGGATTTAAAGATCCTCCTCTTCTCCTTCTGGAGGACTTTAAGTTCCGGGGTCACCCAAGGTTTGCTGTTGGAGAAACACTGTACTTTCCTGGTGGGTACGGTATCCTCAACACAGAAGTTTATATAGTCCGTGATACAATCTGTCATGGTGTCGATGTCATCACCATGTGGGCCGCACAGTACATCCCAGTCTGTGGTCTCAAAACAGTCCTGCAGCACCTCAGTGGCCTCCTCATACCACCTCTTAACATACCTGATGGTGGGGGGTTGTTTCTTCACCATAGCTATGTAAATGGTCCGCTCTGATGAGATGAAATCCGTCCAAAGTTACGAGCAGGTCCGGAGTGAGTTCATTCAGCCATGACTTTGTGAACAACATTAGGCTGTACTCACGGTACTCCCACTGCAGCCAAGTCAGCGCTGTGAGCCCTTCCATCTTGTTGGGAAGAGACCTCACGTTTCCCATGATGATGGATGGGACAGTTGGCTTAAAACGTCTCCGCTTTGACGGATGCTGAACTCCAGCTCTGCATCCTCTCCTTCTCCTGCGGAGCTTGGCGGAAATGTCCAGTCTGTCCCACGAAGGTGGCTGGGCTTGGCGCAGCGCCAACAGCTGTTCACGGCTGTAAACAATGGAGCCGCTGAACGGGTCACCAGATGCGGACTTAAAAACTCCAAAAAGTAAAAGAAAAACAAAGTGCTAGAGTCATGAAATACACATCCATGGCAAAACACAGCACTGCTTAATAAAAAGAAAGACAAATAATGTGTAAAAAACAATAATTAAAGGCAAAAACGTAAACTCTGTGAAGAGCTGCTGTGACTTGCTGCCACACTCAGGGCGCTCAGTCACCAAAATCGAGGGTACAAACATTTACAATCTGCACTTTGTGGATCAAACTAGCCGGCTCCTTCCCATTGCTGTAACCATATTTGGACAAGGGATGCAGATACCACAATTCCACAGACTGAACTTAAAAAAAGCTAATGCACAAATCATTTTATAATGTAATACCTACATCTACCTGTGGTATTCACAGTGTGTATTCAAATGTTGCTAAAATAAAAATACACATTTGAGACAGTTATCTTAGACAGAGCCAGAGCAGCAGTATAATGACCGGACTGTACATTAAAACAATTTGCAGTAATACAAACTTATTTCCAAAAATGTGGGTGAAGGAACAGATTTTGTCGTTTTACCAATGAAAAACCACGTTTTGTATGTTTTTTTAATAATGTAAATAGCTTTTTGAATATTTTAATGTTTCTGTTTTAAATTTTGGAGTTTAAAAAAAAGCAAAAGACTTCTTTTAAATCCCTATTGCTGTTGAACATTCAGGGTACAATGGATGCTAAATGTTACATCATGAAAAAAACAATTAGATTCAATAATTTTAGTTTATTCAAAAGGGGGAACAAACTGCATGGTGGAAAAAGGAAAATGAAGGCTCTTTGAAATGCTCAGTTGTGATGAATATATGTGTTGTTAATAATGTACAATACCAGTTTGTTCCTAATACGGTGAAACTCAGTCACAGCCTGTAATATTTACGAATTATTTTCTATACTGTGTAGGTGTTCAAGCTCTACCTGTTCACTGACCTGTCGGTTAAAAATTTTAAAAAGTTTTGTCTTTCAAATTCAGCACAAAACTCACCAACAGTCAGAAAATTATTTTTAATAACTCAGATAGTGTAATTTAAAGGTAGGGTTAGTCTTCTAATTTAGATACACTTTTTGTTATTCTGGTTAAAATGATCTTATATTGCAATGGCAATCAATACATGATGTGTTCTTAAAAAAGAACGAAACATAGCCACTATCTAAAGCAGGAGTAAAACTGTGAAAACACCAACCAATCCAATCCAATCCACTTTATTTATATTGCACATTTAAAAAAGAGTTAAGTTTAGCAAAGTGCTGCACAGTGCAATAAAATAAGTTAAAACATACATGAAAAGTTAAAATAAAAGAATCATAATAAAAACCATATAAAAACACTGAAATTAAACAATGAGGAAATAAAATAATATAAACCAATCACATCATGTGGGTCCCACATTTTTAAACAAATCAAATCCCTTGCTCACGTCCTGCGCATACATGTCGCTGGCAAGTACTGACCCTGATTCGATGCGCATAGCCGAGCTGAGAGGGATACAGCTACGCTCGAGAAACTACCTATACCCAGATTAATGGTGACCCCTCCTCCTGCAAAAAAGAGCAAGAAAAGAAAGACAGGGGCAGAGAAGGCCAAAACAAGACAGAGTCTGGAGAAAGCAAGGACAAAAATGAAAGTCAACATCAGGACAGCTTTTCAGCAATGGAGAGAACTGAAAGAGGTCTATGGCTTTAAAAACATTGCCATGGCTGATCATTTTCTGTTGTAAAGGTAAATTGAAGGTTTTATAATTTTTAATCTTGATCAAGTTTTTAGCCATATAGCTAGTTATGTGGTCATCCCTCTGGTTACCCTCTTTGTCCCTGCTGTGTAAAGACTTCTCAATCTAGTCCCAAAGTTTGGAGTCTGTGGTTTTTAACCATCAGACAGTGAGTGGGGGAATTGTTTTGGAGGAGCTCCAAGGGAAGGAGGGAGTGACTAGATAAAGTCCAGAGGACATGCTACATTCAAATTCATGGTAGTTTGCTGTGATTAGCAACCCTACCTTTAAAGTTCGAACCCATGCTTCCATGTATGTTTACTGTATTCAGCACTAACAATCTGACATAGTGACAGAGACGAAGAATATCTGACTATCTGCAGAGAAAACTGGATGCATGATTGTTAACAGTACGATCATTTTGTAGATAAACTTTTTTCAGCTAAATTTGAGGAGAGAAAGTGACTATATAGGTTCTTTTCAGTGTTTGTTGTAAATAAATCAAATGGTCACTTTTTTGTCTTTAAATTAGACCCTTGGTCTCTTATCCTTAAAGAGTCCCTGATTACTTAAAAATGTATACTGTTTGTGTTTTAACCCAGTACAGCACTTACCTCTTGATATCAACTGTCTCCAGCTATTTTCTCTTTCCATAATCCACAAGAAAATTTTAATCTACAAAACTACGAGGACTGACCTGATGTGGTAAGTAAATCATATTATTTGGGTTTCTGTTACGGCCGCCACCGTAGTGCGGCAAAATCTTGGGCCTTCCTTCCTGCCTGCGTGCGTGCGTCTGTGTGTGCTTGTGTGTGAGTGCTGCTTGTAGCTCACAGGTTGCCACAGCTGCAGATGGAACTAATTGCCTGATCACATCCACCTGGAGATGGCAGAGACCGACTGGCTGTAGGCTTCCACCAATCATGAGGAGCCACTTGGCAGAGTGGATAAAAGGCCAGCAGACCTGCAGCTCAGGAGCACGCTGTAACCAGTGGAGCTCCCATGCCTCTCTTTTTCAGACCTAAAGTCTTTGTGAATTGTGGACATTTGTAACCTTGTGAGGCATATTAGTTGATCTTTGCACACACCTAGCTTCTTTTTTTTTGTTAGCAGCAGTAGAGCTGAGTTGAGTTGTTTTTCATTTCCTTATTTCTCTATGTGAACAGACCTTCATTTTCACTGTTAATAACTCTAGGTTAGAGTCTGTGTTTTTGCCAATCTATTAGTACATTAGTACAGGCCTTTGCTGCCTCTCTTTTTGTTGTTTTTACCAGTTTTAACTGCGTTAATAAATAACTTGAATTGACCATTTAACATCTGGTTGTTTTACGTTACTTCCCTTCTCCCCTATCAAGCTGATCGTAACAGTTTCAGACAGAAAAATGAAGTTGTTTTTTTTTAATTTAAGGTTTATTTGTTGTTGAAGGATGGATAATGGTTTGTGACAGCCATTCGATTGCTGTAAGTTGCTGATATTTATTGTATATAGAAGCTGAACATCATGAAATTCAGAGGTCAGTTAAACTTGAAAGCTTATACTTATACACAGAGACAATGATGTCTCCTTTGTGTACATCTTTAATTACAACATCAAGACAAGATACAAACATACAGTTGACAAAATATTCAAACACCTAAAAAAAATTCAAAATGCTGCAACATACTTCTGATTAGAGACAATACTTAAAGTGCCATCGAAATTTACAGCAGTCCTTAATTAACAGACTTCCTATGATTAGAAAAATGTCAAATGTCTCAATGAAATTGGCAAGGAAGTGGTTATAGAGGGGAGGAAATTTGAGGAATATGGGTGAGTAATTTAAGGCTGATGATGTCTGTGGAATATGTCACAATTGAGCTGATGGAGGTTGACTGTTATCCATTATTTCATTTCACTAAGGCACTTGGTCAGTATGGAGCAGAGACGATCTGGACATAATTGGAATAGCAGTGGAATTTAAGATCATATTTATGCTTGGAATGAAAGGGGGCCAAACACTTGACCCAGGGGGACACCCCAAGATGGAGGAGCAGTGGAGGGGTTTCTGTCTGTTTGATGGATGGAGGGACTTTAACATTAACCCTGGATCCCAGGTTGGAGAGAAGAATGGTGAGGTGATTGTGTTGATCATGACAGTAAGGTCAAGAATGATGAATCTGAGGTTGTCAGTGACTCTGTGGAGATTTTTTTTTACCTCTTATCATCTTTTCCCACTTGTCCCACCTGCCCCCATGTACCTCATTCCTGCCTGGAGTACTTTATCCACTCGACTTTTCATCTCTGTCAGTTTCTGGATCTTCTGTGTTTCTCTTTTCTCTTCCATCCTTTTGATCAAGAAGTCCAGGTGTTCGTGGACATCCAGTGAATCGGCATTCAGGGCAATCCTCTCCAATTCAACGATATGCTTAAAGGCCTCTTCCAACCATCTGTTTTTGTCTCTCTCAAGTTCTCTAATGTCATTTTTAAGCATTTCTAAGAGGCTCTTTGCCTCAGCATGGCCTGCTTTACCTGCTTTATACATCTCTTCCATTTCTTTACAGGTCTTGTGAACTGTTCTGGTCTTGGTCACATATCTCCACTGCTCTCTCACGTGATGTGATTCATGACACTTCCCTCTACATATGGTGCAGTGGTCGCTGAAGTCAATGAACTTGCACAGTACTTTAGCCCAGGCTGTCTCACAGTCATAATGACAGTTTTCCTCACATTTGGTACAGCACAAACTTCCTTTTTTACCTATCCACAGTGAAGTCCATGTCCTCTTACCTTCATAGTATTCTTTGTCTTTGTATACTTCAGTAGTTGGTATCTTGAAGTCCTTGTTTTTCTCAATTTCACCTTTGTGTTTCTCAAGAGCTTCCTCTTTTTCCTTGATTCCCTTCAATTTGTCCTCGATAAACTCAACTCGTTCTCTGAGGTTCTTGATGCAGGTCTTCAGGGTGTCTCTTTCATTAAGAACATCCACAGTTCCCTGAACCCTTTTAGGTTTGGATCTTTCCAGAAAGTCTGTTAACTTCCTCATTTCCCTGACTGTTAGTTCATCAGCACGTTCAAGGCCGTCTGGATCCTCCTCTCTGTCTTCTGTCTGGCAGTTTTCAAACAAGAAGTACACAGGCTGGTTCTTGTCATCTTTGGCACACTTGACTTTTGCAGCCTCAAGGGCTGTGAGGACATTTTTAGGTCGTCTCCCATTTGAGTGAGTTATGAGGGCAACGACGCTGTCCTCCATCTTTTTATCAAACAGAGACAGCACAGAGTTCAAAGTGTAACTCTGTCGGTCATCCAGTCGGTTCACAGAGGCCTTCAGCACCAGACCCACTACGTTAATCTTGTGGACTCCACCCTCTGTGCGAAACAATTCCAACAGTTTTTGACCAACAATATTATCTTTTTCAATTCCTCTGGTGTCTCCGTACCCAGGAGTATCGATGATGGTCAGAGAGTACGGCAGAGTTTGATCTTCAAACCCAAAGATCTCGTACACCGTCACATCTGTTGTCTGACTTTCACTCTGATTTTCTTCTTCCTCTAGACGTGATTGATTCTTCTTTTCCTCAACGATTTCAAACCAGATGTTGTCTGCCCACTTCACCCCCATGGCGTAGTTTACCAGCGCATTGATCAAAGTAGATTTTCCTGTACCTGTTTCACCAACAAGCAAAATGGTTTTGTTGGACTTGCTTGCATCTTTTTGACCCAGAGTCTTTTTTGTGAGAGACTGAACGTTCTTTGTAGTAGGTATCAGCCTGTAGACAGCTGGAGATCCTGGACGAATCAGCACTTTGTTGGTGATGTGGTTAAACTTGGAGGAGCTGTTCCTTTAGAAAAGTAAAGACATTAGCTCAACAAGTCCTTTACTGAAATTTAAATCAAACATAAGCTCTCCAGAAACATGACAGTCATAGTAAAGATAATCAGCCTCATTACATGATAGTTTTAGTTCAGCCCCTGGAATCAAACAAATCTCTTATCACTCATAAAAGAAGTAAAAGAAACTGCTAAATTTCTGTTTGAATCTTTTTTTTTTTTTTTTTAAATCTTTTTGACATTAAACTTAAAGTCCTTAAAACCATAGTACTTTGAGTATTCAGATCTTTGTGCTGCATTTGGTACAATTGGCCTTCACAACCTTATACATAGACCAAAACCATGACTTTAATCTTTAACTTTAAATCTCATTCAGCAGATCACTATCAGTATACACTTGAAAATAAATAGTTCTCTGTTAACCATGGAGTACCTCAAATGTTAGTTCTTGGACCATATTATATTTTGTAGGAACAGTCCATGAGGTTTCGCTGTTTGAAAGATGACAATTTAACTGTTCAATGAATCCCTTTGGATAACACAACAGGGAAAAAAACCTCAAAGATGTTAAGACCCATATGACCCGAAATTCTTTGCTGCTTAAAACTGAAGTTATTGTTTTTGGCCCCAAACGCCCCAGAGAGACATTTTTTGATAGAATAACCACTTTAGATGGCAAATTTAGTCTTTTTTAAGCAGCATCTAGGAGCTCATTTAGTGCCCATTATTACGTCATCTCATCATTAAAATTTCACAAAAGTGGTAAATAATTAGTCAAATCTGAATTCATGACTCAGTACTCACATTGCCATGTTGTGTCTTCACAGTAATCAGAGGATGGAGCAGCTTCTCAGATTTCTAAATGAGAAAAGAAAAAAGTCAGCTATCTCCACTTATGAGAAGCCTCTGTGTAGTTTTTAGTATTTTATTACTGTATGATAAAACACTGCCTGGACCTGTTCTGCAAACATTTGTGGATTTCCACAACACTTCACTTTTTTTCATTTTTAAATTGCTGCAGAAACTATTGAAAATGTTTCTCATTGTTCAGAAAATCCTACCCACTGTTTGTTTTCTGTCTTTAGAAAACAAAAGTGTGAGGGAGAACCTTTATAACTGTGTGAGGTTTTTAAGTTTTTTTAGTGTAATGCAGTTTAGAAATCTAGGCAGTTAAAGAGGGTCACTTTAGTGCTGAGCACCCAGGGTGCTTGATCCTGGAGTGACTTGGCTGACATGCTTTTGCAGCAGGTTGGAGATAACTTTAAAGATGCTGCATGAAAGCAAATATATTATACAACCAGAAAAAATAGATACTGCAAACAACAAGGTAAGTGATGTCAATAATGGTGCAAATAACACCATGAAAAACGTAAGCCTTGCGGTCAGAAACTGTTTGTTGCTCTGGGATCACACACCTGACCTGACACAGTCAGACGCAGTCATTCTCCAGGCTTTGTAATCTGGCCATCGATGCTCCTGTTGTCTTTATTTAAAGGCTTTACATGGTGATTGGGATTACAGTTTTTCTCAAAGAGCAAGGTCAGTTAGTCTGACTTTGCAGTGAGCTGTCTCTCATTTCTTTTGGCTCTCTATCAGCTCTTTATTTAGTGTTCTCTGATTTTACATTACATTCAGATGTTTTAACCCCTTATCAACATGCCAGAATGTGTGAGGACAAGCAAAGTTTAATTTCACATTTTAAAACAACTGTAGTCGACCAAAGTGCTGTACAAGCTTGAGACACAGTATCAGTAAAAGCAAAGCTAAATTATGGAAAAAATTAAGCAAAGTAAATAAAACAATAAATGGAGTTTGGTAAAGTTGAAACATATGCCAGCTGAATTATGTCAAGTTATTTCTGTCGTTCTTTCTTTTCTTTTAATTCATATTATACACAGCAACACAGCGATTCTGTTGACTATCCTTTTGCACTAAATCAGGGCTGCACTATATGTAGTTTGAGCATCACTGTGTGCACAACAGTCACATTGCAGAGCCTGAGATATAGGAGCAGAGGAAACCACGCCCCTGCACATGCTGTGCACATGGAGTGAGTCGCTGCTGCCTGCCGGTGTTGTGCCGAGAAACGCATGCCTGCCGAGAATTACTTTCGGAACATAACTCATTACTGTTTAGCCCCACAAATATGAATCGTATGGGTTTTAAATTGTACATTTCCGTGGATCTCTCTTCTATAACTGGTGCACATTTCTGTGAGGTGCATGCAATTCTTGGCAGACATGTGTTTCTCTGCACAACACTGGTAACAACAACAACGATTGCAAAATTAGCAACAAACAAGAGAAAACCACCGAAAACGAAGACTTGTTACCAAAAGAATAGATGTCAGTTATCTGGATTTGTTTTGGTTACAAGAAGGATGATGTAGACCAAACGCATGTACTGTGTCAGCAGTGCCTTTCATCTGTTGCCACAATGAGTGATAACAATTCCCAGCACAAAAAAGCAAGCTAAAATTATCTCTAAGACAGAAGCTATTTTACTAACATTCACAAAAAGAGGTAAGATTAATTCATTTGTTATCTTTTTTTAAAAAGGCTATTGTCAAGCCTGATGCCTTCACTCACAGGGCAAGGTATACAGTTCATTCATTCATTCAACAGTAGTATTGGATCGGTTTTGAAGATCGGCAGATACGCTCAGCCCAGGTATCTGTATCAGATTGGATCGGAAAAAAATGGATCAGTGCATCTCTAGTAATAAGAAGCTGCAGGGCTCACCCTGCTACATTCTGTTTTTGCTCTAACTTGAGTGTTGTTTGAGTGCTTTCTATGAAATCACATGATCACAGCGCTGCCCTGCCTTTTGGAGATAGCCTACAAAAACACTGAGCATGCTGCTTTCGACACTCTTCCTGCTTCCTCATACAGCATCCTGAAGCTCAGACACAGTTGAGAAAACTTGACCAACTTTGAGGAAGAAAATATTAAAGGTATGACTGATAATTCTAAGTGTTGTTTGTTGGTTTGGGGTTCATTTTGTTGAAGTAACTCTGAAATGAATATGAAAACAGTCATGCTCAATGAGGCCAGACAGTTTTACCAACATGGAAACCCAAAGGTTTTTCAAACTTGTTAACTATAAGTGATTACTTAAGTTTTACTCATTAAAAAAATATCATCAGCCAGCCTGAAGTATTGGCTCAAAGTTAGTTTTTGTATGACTGTGGCTTCAGTGAGGCAAATCAGTGATGGTTTTCTGCTTTGTATGTAAAAAGTTAAAAGGGAAAAACTTGAAGACCAAACAGGTTCAAACTTAATAACCTCCAAATGTCAGTCACTCTAATGTGAAACTCCATTCTGATCAGTCTGGGCAGTCTTAGAGTCCTCACATTATTAAGACAGAATAAAAAATACTGCATTCAAGTGTAAAAGGTGTCAGCATACTGATGTACTAAAATGTTCACTGGCCTTCAGACTAATAGAATACTTTCAGAGTCTAAAACTGGAACAGTTTGTTTATGATTAACTGTCATCATAAAGGGGCTTTTCTTATCATGATTCGAAGATGCTGATTGGCTGGTGTGTGCTGTGTGACAACAAGCTGCGTCAGAATTAGCTCTTTAGCCACAGAGCATTGTTATTCTCAAGTGTACTGGACTGTAATGGGGGGTGGCTTCAAAACAAAGCAAAGAGGTATTTGACTGTTCATGGCTCAGAGAAAGAAACTTCAAATTACTGAACTCCTAAAGTCGTAAAATGTCCTTTTTAAAAATCTGAAATTTAAAAGAGTTTTTCCACACTAACAGTGAAATCCATCAACAGTTTAATGAGATTTAAGTTTGGTTCATTTTTAACAAAAAGACAGTAAAATACCAGATTCACACTTATGTCTCTATTTTTTAAACACTCAATCAGATTCAGATTGTTTTGAACAAGTTTTTATCCATCTAACTTTTCAAATTAGTTCATAACAAATGAGTATATTTAAAAAACAGGTCCTCCAAAAGTATACTCTGATTGCATTTAAATAATAAAGTGTTGCAAACTACGCATACTACAGTTGTACTCTATTGCATCACTATAAAAAAATTTCACAAAAGCCTGACTTATTTTAGCGACAAACTGTTTCAGGTATATTATTGAATGTTTATAGTAGGAGATATTGATTTCTTAGAGTATTGAATCTGTTTCCTACCTGTCAGCTTCAGAATACTCTCCGAGAATGCTTAGAGAACAAAGAGCAGAGTTTATATTTGTAGACTGCAGGGAGGGCAGGTCCTCCTCAGGTCACATGATTTTAAGGAAACTGTCTCCTGCATTTTTGCTTTCTCTTTCAGCAAGGGGGTTTTCATGAAGGCACATGTGACAACTGCTCCCCCTCCCCGAGCTCATTTGAAAATCAGAATAATTAGAGCCTGAGCAGAGTTGTGTCTGCAGAGCTGGAGGCTGCAGTTTCCAGACTGCATCTGTGTCTGTGCACCAGTCAGGGTTAGGTCAGTCAGTCACTAAAGTAACTAAAGAGGCTGTCCTTTCTCGTGCAAACCACACCAGTCTTGAAACCGCAGATGTTTGTTTGAAGTTGCACACAGAAGTTTGTACTTTGGACTGTTTTTGAGAACAGATTTTAATCAAGCACTTCATATCTTAGTTTTGAGTACGACTGGCAGGGCTGCAGTCTGAGAGGGTTGTAAAGGGTTTATATGACCTCTTAGAGATGATATGTTCTATGTCACAAGATTATCACTTATTCCCAGAGGTCAATTGTGTCTTCACATGTGTTATTATCTTGTTGAGTTACCATTCTCTGTGCACCAGTTGGTGTCATGTGGTAACAAGATTATTAAGTCCAAAAAAAGTCAAAAATCTCTCTAATTGTAGTCTAAAGGGAATTATCTTACTTTATCTTCTTAAATGGATTAAATATTTTGAGCATCAGTTGTAACTTTGTGGGAACAAGCTAATTGTCTGTGTATGCAAAACTTACAGAATTAAGTTTATCTTGTATGCACAACAGAGGTATCTTGTTCCACAAGTCAAATCTGTTTTTTGTACAAATGATTGTTTTTTATGTACAAAAGTAAAAACCTTGTTGGACCAAGTTATCGTATGCACACAAGATAACATCTTGTTCCCAAAAGATTGTTTCATGGCCTGCACCAATTATATTCATGATCATTTATCTTATGTGCTTTGTTATTGTCTTTTGATGATAGTGTTAGTGTGCCAAAGTTGATTTCCAGAGATGATATCAGGTCTCTAAATCAAGTTTCAACTCACAGATTTCTTTAGTTTTTATTAAAGGTTCAATTCTTACCCAACAAAATTAAATAACTGCATCATCAACCTGAAATTATACATGGTGAGATTGTAATTGGTGGTGTCATTTTACAGTCATACATCAGAAATCTACATTTTTACTTTAAGTATGTCAAAACCACATTTGAGGTATGATTTAGTGATGTGCAGGAAGGATTCACCTATAATAATAGGTGACTAATAAAAGATTCTGAGTCAGGCTTGGAGCACTAAAGTTAATGATAGTGAGTGAATATGCTCTAACATAACAACCTACACTAGCTTGAACCTGATGAGAATAATTGAATATCTGAGTTTTGACCGCATGAGACAGCATCAGCCCTGTTTGGAGCTCTGGAGGTTTGCATACTTAAGTAAGACTGGTCTTTGGAGAAGATGGAACAGCTACCAGCGGTTCCATCAAAAAACAACGCTTGTGGATCCTTCAGATTTTCCTTTGGATGCTCCTATCATCTCACCACAAACTCTGGCACAGAGGATGACTTTGGGCCTGCTGGCTGGCGTTCAGAGGTGACTTTGAAATCACGCAAATGACTCAGAAAAAGAGATTCGATGGCCAGTGGAAACCATTTAAAAAAAAGCCGCTTTTATTTTTTCGCTCCTGTGTCGAATTTTTCGGATATTCGCAGGCGAATATCTGGACCTGCTAGACCTCTGGCCAATCAAAAGTCATGTTGTTGATGACATCACAGACCCATACGGCTGGAGGAGAGGGAGAAGTCTGAGATTATGAAAACGCAGAGAAAGGCAGCTGAGGTGCATCCAAAACTCTTTCTAATTACTAATGAAGTAGTTTCCTCACAAGATGACACTCTCATGTCTTCCTTAGGAGACAGGTGTCATGCACACTTCACAGGGTGACCTCCTCATCATTTTGACATGCCGATGATCTGCAGCTAAAGATCACTGCTCAGCCTTCGCCTCTCTCACAGCTTTTCCTCCTCTTTCTCCCTCGCTCATAATGCTAGACATGTCAATCAGCAGCCGTTCACACGACACACACCACCACCGGTAATTGCGGTACAGGACCACCCTGCATCTCCTCTCCTCCGTGCCGCAAAGCGACTTTATTAATTCGCTTTGCAAAAATATACGCATATTCGCTTCGAGCCCGGTGTGTATAGGCGAAAGCGATTTTTCGGACCGGCAAATATTCGCAATTTTCGTCTCGCTTTTTCGCTTCGCTCCGCAAATTCGCCGGTGTGTAAGGACCTTAGAGCGTAAGAGAGAGTGAGCAACCCTCCTTTATGGGTTTATCCTCTCACACAGGGAGTGTCTCTGGTGTGTTTGTGAGGAGAAAGAAGAGGGTTCATGGGGTCTCCAACTGCAGAGGAGACCTCTTGGATCCCTAATTATTGGATCTAAAATATACTTTTGGCTGGTAAAAGAGTCAGATCTTATACTCACTCACTTTGATTAATATCATTGAATGTTTGGTTTCATGATAAATGATTTGATACTAAACACGTATGAATGAAATGTAGGATCACATCAAACATTCTCATTTTGTTTCAAGTATCACATTGATCATACTAAATTACTCTAAAAAAAAACAGATGCTAACACATAGAAACTGTGAACAACAAAAGAGTAAACACGTGAATGAACTTCATCATGATTAATAATGGATTCTAAATACTCACATTCAGATTATTCAGTGACATTATAACCACCTAATGGTTAAAAATACTAAATAAATGATTAAGATATAAACCAACCATTTCTGTTACTTGAGTAAAGTTATAATTCATAGTCAATGAATTTAACTCTTAAAGTTCATGAAGTAGCCTCAAAAGCTGTTGGTCTAAAGAAACTGAAGAATAAGGATTTATTCTGTCAGGGTGATAACTTGGGATCTGGAGCACATAGAAAAATGGGACACATCTCATTTTAACACAAATTTCATGATTAAGCAGATTAGTACATTGCTACATGCATAAGATGTCATGATCAGTTATTTGTATTCTTTCACCAAAGGAATGCAGTTCTTATCAGAGTATGGTTGAGCAGGGTTTTACGACAGAGGTCTGGAGGTCAGTGTCCTGCTCCTCAGACCTTTCCTTGGGTCTGTTAAGATGGTAAATCTCAAATGGGAGACCTGGATTGAGGCATTAATGATTATTTAGATGGTCAGTGATTGAGTCAGTTTGAAAGGTAATAAAAGCTCCGTCTCTGTTCTCCGAATTGACCAACCATGAAGAGCCAGAGGTTTGGTTAACCTCCGGTCGGGTCAGTTAGGTAACCTTAAAGTGCTAACAAGTCTGGAAAAATTTATATCCTGTGTGTGGAGTGGCTGGTGAGTTGTGAGGACCCAGAAGCAGACACGGAGACAGAGATCAACTTAAGGTGTAATTTAATGTCCAAACAAGGGTTGTAAATGCAAAAAGAGGAAGTCCTGTAGGCTGGTTGGCTGGCTGTCGTGTGGGCTGGAGACACTGCAGGAAAAACCAGAGGAGAGGAAGGTAAGTGAACATGCACAGAATTACTAGGAGCAAAGTTACTGATACTCTTACAAGAAGGAAGGCCAGGAGACGTGTCTATACCACTAGGAAGGGTAGACAATACTCAGGTGCTGAGACTGAGGGCTGCAGGCTTCTTAAAGTGCCTTGATTGGAGATGTGGAGCAGGTGTGAAGTGTCACTCAGCCTAAGCGACCAGGAGAGGGGAGGAAGCTCTGGAAGAGAGTAAAGCCAGACCAGGCAAACAAGGAAACACAGGAAGTCCAGCCAAAATAAAACAAGAGGAGGAGGCGTCTCACCACACTGTGTCCTGGGACCGGATAAGGAAACTTTCCTGCGAGGAATGTGGGAGTTTCACACACAGGGTTGTCTTGGTGAAGTTAGTTTTAGGTTTGATATCCGACGGACATTCACTGAGGATCTACCGGTGTCTTCTCACTCTTCATAACCGGGAATAGCAACAGCAGCCCTGTTGAATCTACTCAGCACCCTTGCTGTTAACGGTCAACATCAGGTGTTGGATAAGGGACCGTCAATAAATTACCAGTTAATATTCTAAAAAAAAGCAGGGGGAGGAACTTTCCAACTAAAAGCTTTCTGTGAAATCACATGATCACAGTGCTGCTCTGCCTTTTGGAGATAACCTATAAAAACTCTGAGCATGCTGCTGTGGACAATCTTTTTGCTTCCTCACACAGTATCCTGAAGCTCTAAAACAGGTGAGAAAACTTGACCATCTTTGAGGTAGAAAATATTAAAAGTATGACTGATAATTCTAAGTGTTGTTTGTTGGTTTGGGGTTCATTCATCTGTTGAACTAACTCTGAAATGAATATGAAAACAGTCATGCTCAATGAGGCCAGACAGTTTTACCAACATGGAAACCCAAAGGTTTTTCCGACTTGGTGACTGTAAGTGATTACTTAAGTTTTACTCATTAAAAAAATATCATCAGCCAGCCTGAAGTATTGCCTCAAAGTTAGTGTCTGTATGTGTTACGGGTCCCGGGCATTACCGAGCACCACGCAACAATGAAGATTGTTTCTGTAAAACAAAGTAAAGGTGTACTGAAATGAGGCTGTATGAACTCCTTGTGTCTCCTCCATTCACTGAACTCAGATTTATTCACAATAGTTGACAATAACCATCTCAAATCAACCAATCAATCGACCACACAGTCAGACAGTAAACAACAATAATAAAATATTTCCCGTTCTGAATGAATATCGACTGAATATCTCTGGATCTGTCCTTTGTTAGGTTTTTCCTATGTGTGTTTGTGTGGTTTAGGTATGTGTGTGTATGGATGTATGTGTGTGTGTGTATATATATGTGTTTGTGTGTGGGTGTGTGTATATGTATGTGGAAAGAGGATATAAATGTAAACATTTGTTAACCACATCAGCATAAACAATGTCATACACAAAACAACCTGTACGACATCCTTATCAAAACTCTACACATCAGTCAAATGTTCTGATAACCTTTTAGAAAAGTATTCGAATGTCAGGAATAACCGTCAACATGGCACATTCGCGTGTCCGAAACATAACGCAGCAAAACACCGACGCCTTCGTATCTGCCGCGTCATAGCACGTTAGCCGCTAGAGTCGCTAGCAACGTAAAATCACATGGCGAACCGCGGGCATTCTAACACTCTTAAAACTTAAAACTTTGTCATTCAAGTGTCCTAACACATCCCCACATTCATGCCAATGCTTACGATCTTAGTCATCGTATTTTCACAGTGAACCAACCTGTAAAACAAAGTAAAGGTGTACTGAAATGAGGCTGTATGAACTCCTTGTGTCTCCTCCATTCACTGAACTGCCGGTGGGCGGAAGTCGCTTGCCTCTCACCCTATCGTGCAGCAGTGCAACTGGCCGCTCACCAAAGGTTCCGGTCCCCATAACAAATACATAGTAATGCATACCAATGACTTTCTGGCATTCAACCATTAAAATAAATTATGAAAAATAAAAAAAATTGTGCTTAATACATCACTTTATAAAGTGTTTGCTGTTTCCAAAATAAAGTTCCTTCACTCATTTATGAGGGTATCACAGTCTCCCCGACAAACAGAAGTGGCTCCCGACACTTGACCTAAAGAAATAGAAAACCTCACAGTTCAAAGTTCACCAAACGGCTTCACTCATGTAGAAAAGATGAGAACAAAGGCACTCCCAACGTAGGCATCGAATGTCCTTAACGTGTGCATAGTCTGTGGCACTTCAAGTGTCTCACTTCAGTTCAAAAACAAGGTACTGGGTATGCGGTGTATGGGAGTGGATATGTAGTGTATGGGAATGAATGTGGTGTGAAGGCCGGGGACATGGGGGGTTGGAAGGGGAGGGGATAGTGCTGAGGGAAATGGTGCTGAGGGTACTGTAGCTGGGGCCAATGCGTCGGATGAATTCCCACTGCATTCACGCTGGGGCGGCGCTGGTAGGCTGGTTGACCCAGAGAGGGGTAGGTGAACATGTAGCCAGGCTTTCTCACCCGGGTGGAGTGTCTCACGGGGGCTGGGTGTTCCGGCCGGAGTGGCTCTGCGATGTCTTCCCCCAGGCAGACGACTTCACGTACCTGGTGATCATCATCGAGCTGGGGCTGATCCATGTCCTGTTCAGCCTCACGGTATACTTCTGGTTCCTCTTCCATGTTGTTTTCGCTGTTCTGTTCAGGTTCCGCGTTGACTCCCTGTTCAGGTCTGACGTCAACTCTTTCTTCCTGGTGAAGTCCATGGTTCATGTTCCCTTGTGACTCTTGAATTACGTCCCGGTCTGGTGAGGGACTGGCAGTTCTGGTTGGTAGTCGCAGCCAGTAGCGATACACACCACCCTCTTCTTCCGAGTCACTTGTGTCTGGGCTCGGTGCCTGTTCTGTGGGTTTTACAGACTCAGAGTGTCTTTCAACTTTCTTGTGCGACCCACGCGTGCTGGTGGCTGGACTTTGTGGTGGTTCCACTGGCAGATCATTTACTTGCAATAGCAGGTTCCGATGTAGGGTGCGAGTAGGGCGGTTTCCTGTCTCAGGGGCGACTTTGTAAACAGGATTGTCTCCAACCTTCTCCTTTACAATGTAGATGGTCTGCTCCCAGTAGGATCGGAGTTTACCAGGTCCACCTCTCTCACTGAGGTTACGCACCAGGACCCTATCTCCAGGCTCAAGAGTCACACCTCTGCTGCGCTTGTCGTAGTACTTCTTGCCCTTACTGCTGGACTGCTGGCTGTTTTCGTTCGCTATCCTGTAAGCCTCGGTCATCCTTCCTGCCCATTTGTTGGCATATCCTTGGTGGGTTTCTGTTTCTCCGTCGGCTATGAGGCCAAACAGAAGGTCGACGGGGAGGCGTGGATGATGGCCATACATCAAATAGTAGGGGGAAAACCCGGTGGCTTCGTGCTTCGTGCAGTTATATGCGTGAACAACATGAGGCAGGTGATCTTTCCAATTCCCCTTTTCTTTCTCTCCCAACGTCCTGAGCATTTGTAACAGTGTGCGGTTTAGTCTCTCCACAGGGTTTCCTTGGGGGTGATAGGGAGTGGTTCTGGAGTGACCCACCCCGGCTAGTTTTCTCAGGGACCGGAACAACTCGTTTTCGAACTCTCCTCCCCGGTCATGGTGGAGTTTGGACATGTAGCCAAACCGGGGAATAAAATCATTGAACAGCTTGTCGGCCGCCGTCTTACCAGCTTTGTTACGGGTGGGGTAGGCTTGTGCAAACCTGGTGAAGTGGTCGACCACCACCAGAATATACTCACATCCACCACGGGAGGGCTCCAGATGGAGGAAGTCGATGCACACCAGTTCGAGGGGCGAGTTGGATGTAACACTGCCCATGGGCGCTCTTTCATGCACTGCTGGCTTCTTCTGTTTCAGACAGGGGCACTTTCTGGTGACATACTCCTCTATCTCTCTCTTCATGAATGGCCAATAGAAGCGCTCTCTTGCCAGGGTCAGGACTTTTTCAACACCAACATGGCCCATGTTGTTATGCAGGTAGGTGAGGGCTAGTTGCTTGTATGTGGCCGGCAATACCAGCTGTCTTCGGCCTGTGGTTTTCCTGTACAATAGGCCGTCCTCAATATGCAACTTGCTCCACTCCCTTAGTAGCCTCATGGTGTCTGTGTCCCAGTTGTTCTTGTTGTACTCTGTCGGTGTTGTGTTGCTGTCCTTTAACTCCATGACCTTTCCAATTGCCGGGTCTTTTCTTTGTTCTTTAACCAGTTCATCATGACTTATAGCCTGCAGTGGCTCCATGCGGGGCTGAGTTTGGGATGCAAGGCTGAGGGCTGCGACCCAGGCAACGTCCTTCTGCTGAGCTCTCCGGGTTCCTTCCCAGACAGTGCACACGGCCTCGTCCGATAGCTCCTCAGAGCACTCCGTCATGAGGGTCTCGATGTCAAGGGGGCAACGGGACAGGGTATCGGCATCGATGTTCATCTTGCCTGGCCGGTATCTGATGTCGAAGCGAAAATCGGCGAGCTGCCCCACCCACCGGTGGCCCACCGCATTGAGCTTGGCTGTGCTTAGGACATACGTGAGCGGATTGTTGTCTGTGAAGACAGTGAAGTGAGGGGCATAGAACAAATAGTCTCTGAATTTATCACATACCGCCCACTTTAGTGCCAGGAACTCTAGCTTGCCGCTGTGCAGGTGGTAATTCTGCTCCGCTGGGGTCAGTGTGCGTGAACCGTAGGCAATCACCCTCAGCTTTTCATCCTGGTGTTGATAAAGGACTGCTCCAAGACCTTCCTGGGATGCATCCGTATGGAGTGTGTAGGGTTGATTGTAATCGGGGTATGCTAACACTGGGGGTTCCATCAGCATGTCTATTAGACGTTCCAGTACCTGCTGGTGTTTCTCGTTCCACACGACTGGAGTGTGAGAGGACTGTTGAGGGGACTTTGTCTTGCCTCGGGTGATTTTGGGCGGGAGATTGTCAGTCTGTACTTTCAACAGGTCATACAGAGGCTGGGCTATCCGTGAGAAATCTTGTACGAAGCTCCTGTAGTAGCTCAGAAAGCCCAATAGTCGTCTCACGTCTCCGACTGTCTTTGGTGCTCTGTGTTTCAATACCCGCACAGCCTCCAAGTCCTTGGGGTCCACCCTCACTCCATCGGCAGACACCAGCCTGCCAACATAGCGGACTTCTTTCCGGAACAACTCACACTTCTCTGGTTTCAGTTTTACGCCATGACGCTGGAGAGCCTGGAGTACTTTGCGCAGTACCTCCACATGCTGCGTGAATGACTTTGAGAAACATAAGACGTCGTCGAGGTAAGGGATGCAGCATTCATCTCGGAGCGTGTCGAGCATCTCCTCCATACTCCTTTGAAATGCTGCTGGGGCGTTGGATAATCCAAAGGGGATCCGGACCCACTCGTACAGCCCCCACGGGGTCGTGAACGCTGTCATGTACCTTGACTCTTCAGCCATAAATCCTTGGTGATAGGCCTTGCCCTGGTCAAGTATCGAAAACCAGCCATACCCTCCCAGTGAGTCAGTGAGATCCTGGATCCGGGGGAGGGGGTGTCGGTCTGGCACTGTCTTGTTGTTAAGAAGCCGGTAGTCGATGCATAGGCGCAGGGACCCATCCTTCTTTCTCACACATATGACAGGGGCTGCATAGGGGGACCGGGACTTTACGATCCATCCTTTCACAAGTAGCTCCTGCACATACTCCTTCACTTCTTTGTAGAGTGGTTTCGGGATAGATGCATAGGATTTTTGCACTGGGATGTCGTCCTTGAGTCTTATCTCCATCTGGAGTGAGGGGATGCAACCGATGTCATCACTGTCCCTGGCAAAGGCCCCTGACTCCTCACAGAGCAACTTCTCTACCACCTGCTGCTGTTCGGGGCTCAGGTGGCTGATGTCGACAGGCGGCAGCCAGGGCTCAATGGAGGCTATACTGGGGGAGGCAGTGTGGGCAACCTCTGCCGTTGCAGTTGTCAGGGTGACGTCCGCTCGGTGTGACTCTGCTGTTTCTGTCTCGAGGACCTTGGTGACATTCTGGATGACACCTAAGGGCGTTCTCTTTGGCAGGATGACATCGTGCTTTGAGTGATTAGAAATGGGCACTTTAACATGGGGTCGCCCTGCGTGGTTGATTTCTATGAGGCCCTCACCTATGCTCAACTGCCCCAGGACAGGGTTCCCATCTGCAGGCTCATACAGGACAAGGGGATCAGAAGTGTCAAAGTTGGGGGGGACCCTACACCGCACATGTACTGCCTTCCCGGCCGGAACCACAATATTGTCTCTGCCCACTCTAACCGTGGCGGGGTCACACAATGTCTTTTGGGGGGCTTGGATGCAGTGGACCATGGCAACCACTTGTTCTTCCTCCATCCCGAATGCTCTGCGTAGGAGGCTGAGCAGTGTGGCTACCGCCGCACCCGAGGACTCTTGTCTTTTGATGACCTGTTCAAGTACATTGGCCCCTAACAATGGCTGGGATAGGGGCAACTGGCTGACCAGGAAGGGCGCTTGGACTATGAGGTCTGGGTCATTGTTTCCATTGAGGTTGACAGTCAGTTCCACCCACCCGTCGTAGGGGATAGACTGGCCATTCGCTGCAAAGACCTCCAGGTCATGTTCAAAGAGCTCTTGTAGCGCCCTCACTTGGTAACTGGGGATGTGGGTGCTAGCCCACGCTCTGTCAATTATGCTCACTTGCGAGCCAGTGTCGAACAGGACCGTTGCAGGGTGCCCATTGATTGAGCATTTCAGCTGGCTTCTCTTCCCCACTAAGGGCGTTTGGCACTTGTTTCCACTCTGACAGGTGAGGGTTTGGGTTGGGTGTTGTTTGCGGGGTCCGGACAGTTTTGATGGGCGTTGAGAGGTGGGGTTTATTGGTTGGGACTGAAGTTGCGTGCCGGTCTCTGACTGTCCCTCGGCAGAGACCGGGTCTCGTTTCCCTGAAACCTGGTCCGCTTCAAGCATCCTACTGCCCGGTGTCCTGTTTCACCACACACAAAGCAGTGGCTGCACTCCTGCAAATTCTCTTCTGTACATTTTTGGCAACGAGCTGACCTTCGCCTTTCCTGGAAAGGGGGTTGGGGGTTGACATTGGGGGGTGGCTGGAATGAGTGCTGTGATGAGGTATGGGGAGATGGGCGGGCGGATGATGGCAGGGGAGGAGTGTGACTGGAGGGTGAGTGGAGGGGGTGATACGACGGAGGCTGGGCTGGTACTTGGAATGGCGGTGGCACCTGGCTGCTGTTTACTTGATGGTCCATCAGAGCGGCCACCATTTGTGTCAGGGTCTCCACCTGCGCACTAAGCTGCTGTATGGTCTGGGTGTTCTTGTTATCTGCTGCAGAGCCTCCCTGTTTGTTGTCATTCTGTCCACCTGTTTCCACCTTGGCGCTGTGGGCGTGGCTTGACTTTTGGCGGGGAAGCTGACCGAGTCTGCGCTGATGTTCATTCTCGTCGCTGATCATTTTTGTCATCTGCCCGAGAATTTCCTCGTCGGTGACTTGGCTATTCGATACAAGGGGTCTCAGTCTTTGTCGGAGGTCGCTGTGTTTCGGTCCCAGGCCCTGATAGATTGTGTTGAGGAAGACCTCCTGGATGGTCTTGGGGTCGTACGAAATGTCAGTGTTGGCCTGCTTTGACTGGAACAGTAGTCTCTGTTTGAGTCCAATCATGCGGTACAAGAACTGCTGTGGTGACTCGTGTTCGGCTTGCCGGGCACACATCAGCTCCTGAAACATCTCCGTAGTAGCCTTCTCCCCCAGATGAGACCTGAGAAAGACCTTGAGTTCAGGGACGGCCAAGTCATCCTTGTTTGACAACATGTCTTTGAATGCGCCGGGTTTGATGATCCTCAATACGCCCCGGACCACTTCTACGTCGGCGAAGCCTTCTTTGACTCCTTCATCGATCTGCTTACTGAGGTTACTATAGCTGACCTCAGAGCTCTGGTCCCCAATTTGGCCCCCATGAACCTTGAACTCTCGTCGCTGCAGGTAGGGGAAGTCTTTAAGAGGAACCATTCTCTCCGGGTCTCTCTGTGAAGGGGGGTTGAACGCTGGTCCACCTTGGTGGCTGTGTATAGGGGCGGGGAATGCAGCCGTAGCCTCATACTGCCTCAGTTTCTTTCCCAGCTCCTCATACAGCATCTTCAGTTCCCCCACCGGCTGGGCTACTGTGTCGACAGGGAGAGTGAGAAGGGGAGAGGGCTGCATAACAGTGGTGCTGACCAGGGGGAAGGGTGATGATGAGGTGTAGTCTGATGGGGTCGTGTGGGCAGGGGGGATGGGATGTGGAGGGGATGGCATAACGGCGTCGGTGACATGAGGGCTGGGTGATAGTGATGTGTGGTCTGTCTGAGGTGGGGTGGGGTCGGCACTGGCCTCCATAGGGGTCGTCGCGACGGCTGGCCACTCCGCCTCGCTCATCATCTGGTTAATCACGTCGTTTAGCACCAGCAGTTTACTGACACCTTCATCCTCACTTCCTTGAAGGGCGTCAGACTGCATGTAGGAGATGATGTAGTCCATGCACTCCTCCTCATCGGTCGCACTCAGCTGTTCAGTCTCTGAGCTGTCTGATGCGATGTCTGTTACTATCTGACGTAGCTTGGCACCTGACAGCTTGAATAAACCTCTCCTGATGTTCCACACCAGCTCCTTCCGTACCCGGGACATGGCGTGCTTGGCTCAGGGGTTACTGCGATGTTTCGTTGTGGGAAATGCTGGCTTGGCACACCAGCAGCGTTGCTACTCGGCGACTGACGTGCGTTGAATCCCAACTCAGCTGTGCCGCTCCTTGGTGAGATCTTTATCCTTATCTCCACCCTTGGACAGTCACGGCTGACTCCTGGTCCGCAGTCACGTCTCGCCACCTCAGTCTCGTGGTTCTTGAATCACTGGATCAGCATCCAACCAACAGCTGGCGCTGATCCCGGACGAGCCCCCACAATTTGTTACGGGTCCCGGGCATTACCGAGCACCACGCAACAATGAAGATTGTTTCTGTAAAACAAAGTAAAGGTGTACTGAAATGAGGCTGTATGAACTCCTTGTGTCTCCTCCATTCACTGAACTCAGATTTATTCACAATAGTTGACAATAACCATCTCAAATCAACCAATCAATCGACCACACAGTCAGACAGTAAACAACAATAATAAAATATTTCCCGTTCTGAATGAATATCGACTGAATATCTCTGGATCTGTCCTTTGTTAGGTTTTTCCTATGTGTGTTTGTGTGGTTTAGGTATGTGTGTGTATGGATGTATGTGTGTGTGTGTATATATATGTGTTTGTGTGTGGGTGTGTGTATATGTATGTGGAAAGAGGATATAAATGTAAACATTTGTTAACCACATCAGCATAAACAATGTCATACACAAAACAACCTGTACGACATCCTTATCAAAACTCTACACATCAGTCAAATGTTCTGATAACCTTTTAGAAAAGTATTCGAATGTCAGGAATAACCGTCAACATGGCACATTCGCGTGTCCGAAACATAACGCAGCAAAACACCGACGCCTTCGTATCTGCCGCGTCATAGCACGTTAGCCGCTAGAGTCGCTAGCAACGTAAAATCACATGGCGAACCGCGGGCATTCTAACACTCTTAAAACTTAAAACTTTGTCATTCAAGTGTCCTAACACATCCCCACATTCATGCCAATGCTTACGATCTTAGTCATCGTATTTTCACAGTGAACCAACCTGTAAAACAAAGTAAAGGTGTACTGAAATGAGGCTGTATGAACTCCTTGTGTCTCCTCCATTCACTGAACTGCCGGTGGGCGGAAGTCGCTTGCCTCTCACCCTATCGTGCAGCAGTGCAACTGGCCGCTCACCAAAGGTTCCGGTCCCCATAACAAATACATAGTAATGCATACCGATGACTTTCTGGCATTCAACCATTAAAATAAATTATGAAAAATAAAAAAAATTGTGCTTAATACATCACTTTATAAAGTGTTTGCTGTTTCCAAAATAAAGTTCCTTCACTCATTTATGAGGGTATCACATATGACTATGGCTTCAGTGAGGCAAATCAGTGATGGTTTTCTGCTTTGTATGTAAAAAGTTAACATGAAAAAAGACCAAACAGGTTCAAACTTAATAACCTCCAAATGTCAGTCACTCTAATGTCAAACTCTATTCTGATCAGTGTGGGCATGTGCAACTCTTACACCGATATGATAAAGGTAGCATGGCTCACTCACAAGCTTATTTAAATGGCACATTACAAGCTGTTAAATTTCTCTGTTATTTACTGGATTCACGGATACTGGTCGGGTTGGGATCGCCTAAAGGTTTCCTGTTTATCAAATTTGACCTATGAGGTCACTAATTTAATAGTCTGGCTCTAGATGATAGTGCTGTGAAGTGGTTTACACTGAATCCACTCTGCCCTCCGTGAAGTAATTGGATAACCCTAACCCTTTATTTTTTAAGACAGTTTGAGGTATCAGAATGGAAAAGGTCAGCAGGTCGATTGAAGGAGCCCATTTCTAAAGCAGGCTCAGGGTTTCTGTGATTGAGAGATGACAACTCCAATGTGAGTCTCTGTAGATACCAGTCGGTCTGCATTTCAGCCATCGCCTGTGGTTTCCAGTTTAAGATAAGCTCTAAAAGTTTGACCAGTTGGTGATAAGCTCGCCACAGGGACTGGGTGTGGTTCCACTGGCAACGTGAGGAGTTTAGAGATCTTGACGGGCCTGTGTAAAGAACCACTCTAGGAGAATCACAGAATGTGTATGAGTCGGAGTTGAATAGGTAGGGTTGGAAAAAGGGTGGTTTTCCTATGACTTTAAGGGGTACTGACTCTCTCATTATAAAGTCTCTGACTCCAATTCCTTACCCTTTTCCCGCGTGGTCGTTGATGTGAAGAAGAGAAGACGAGGATTCAGAAGAGTTCTCAGTTGAAGCTCTATTTTATTAGCTACAATGAGTCAAAAATGTGCAAACAGAGATCTCCAGGTTCAAAATTAGCTCATCCTACCAAACAGACAGCTTAGAGGTCTGAGGGCTTTAGAACCAAGACTAAGGTTCCCTCAAACCATTTATAGTAGATGCTCCATCTATCTAGACAAAGAGTTTGCTAATCTGGGTGTTGTCTTCGCTTGTGGGCTGGTTTCTGTTTCTTTTTCACCTCTCACATAGATGGGTCTGTTTACCTTATAAGGAGTTGATTTAAGCATTCTACATTCATATCTAACACACACATTTAGTCCTTGAGCCAGACCAGATGTCGGTACCACTTGGGTGGGCAAAACCTTACATATACTAAATTGTTTTTAGGGTCAATATAAGTAAATTAAAATATGATAGACTTTTCATAGGGGTAGCTTTTTATATTTTTTCTCATTTTGTTATTTTCCTCAACAGGCGAATTTTTGTTAACTCCAAAAGCAACACAGAAAGTCAAAAGCACATTAAAAGTCACACTCTTTTTGGGTCACACTGCTCTTTTCTATAAATGAATCAAACCTGTGTCTAATTAAATGAGTTGATGAAGTGGGAGTGGCCCAATTTGATGGTGGAGCAGTTCTTTCAGGTATCATAGTACTTGAGCCAAGAACCAAAATTTCACATATCGGTACCACCTGGGTGGGCAAAACCACCTTATGGAAAGAATAGGACTTTGAATAGGAATTGGAGTTTTTCTCAGATGATTGTATAGAGTGTATACATCAGTAGATCTTATTTTGTTGCTAATGTCGTCTTGCCCTGCACCAGCCAGGATGACTGTATAATGAGTTCCTGCATTTAAAATATGTCAGTGTCATATTAAAGTTGTGTTATTATAATGCTATTAGTCTGCATTTACTTTACTTCTACTTCTAAGTAAAAAAATATCCTTAATTTAGACCTTGATTTAGACCTGACAATTGGCTAATTGAAGCTTATATATACACACCTGTATTAGATAAATTACTTGAAATACTACTTAGGGGGTTATTACAAGTCTCTATGGCTAGCCAATAGTTCAAACACACCTAAATGAGAGGTTAAAATGAAAGAAAGCTAATTTTGAAGGAAGGCGATTTTTCGTTTTTGAACAGCTGCACTCTATTACTTCAATGAGTGATAACTACAATAAAGCTACCAGTTACCAAGGTCTATCATATAAAAACTTATTGTAGGGATGTATAGCAATAAAAAAATCACAACTAGAATTTGTCCACCCAGGTGGTACCGATATGTGAAATTTTGGTTCTTGGCTCAAGGACTAATTCAATCATACTGTTTTGCTGTTGCTGGGCAGATAGGTAATCTTATACCTATCTCTTATACCCATCTGCCCTAGGTAATCTTAAAAATAAAAATGCAAGTATCATAGACGGAAATAACTAACACCCCACAAAGTTCCAACCACGCCCTCTGCACACGTCCTCTTTCATACATCTGGGTGCAACTTCCTTCAAAACCATCACACGAACATTTTTACTCTGTACATGACCCCTTTCTTACCAACTATCAAAAGAAGCCAAAGCTTAAACCTTCATACTATGGATACTGTTCTTTCCCTCATGACTGCAATGAGCATAATTCTTGATTCTTTTTGCAACTCCATCAAATCATCTCCAAATCTACAATAAATTCTAACAGTAGTTTCATCTGACTCATTTGTCTAAAAGGTGGTAGATGAGTCAGTGTCCAGTGACATTCCTAGCTCACTTGAAGATCTGATTGGATTTAGAAAGACAACTAGATTTTTTTTACAATACGGATAAAGGAAACAGCCACACCAAACCCCTGCCAACAGGAGATGACAAAAACAAACTGCAATCCTGACCTCCTTACATAGAGGGCGTACTAGGGGTGTATTTTGTGTATTTTATTTTTTAATAATTATAAAGTTTAGTTTTAATCTGTATTTGATCTATTTCTTTTTTTTGTCAACCCATTTGTTCTTTCTTGTCTAGTCTTAGTTCCTTTATTATTTTGTAGACTTTAATAAAGGTCTAGGTTGTTTTTTTAAGTAGATACTGGCTAAGGTTTACAGCTGGAGGATCATACAAGTTTTAAACCGTAAATGTGTATCACTGTGGCTTTTTATTCTTCCAGATTACACGGTGGTAATCAGGTTTTCAGGGACAGAGATGTACTTAACAAAGCTCTGCACTCTGACCCAGCAGACCTGGTGAGACTGGTGAGACCAGGTTCCACTTCGTGACATAGCGGGATGGAGAATATAATACTTGACTTTTATTGGTCAAAAAAAAGAAAAAAACAGCAGGTGTTGTTGCTCCACATCTGATTGAGTGTGTTGTCATACCTCTCCTCCCATTTTACTTCAGCTACAACTCTGGGAGCTGTCACCTCCAGCACTTCTCTGATGACACAGCCATCGTCGGATGTGTATCGTCAGGGGATGAGCGGGAATACAGGACTGTCATCACTGACTTTGTCAACTGGTGTGGCACAAACCATCTCCAGTTCAACACCAGTAAGACAAAGGAGATGGTCGTGGATTTCCGCAGGAGGGGGACACCTCAGACTGTTCCAGTGAACATCCAGGGTCTGGACATTGAGATGGTGGAGTCCTTCAGATTCCTGGGTGTCCACCTCAACAACAAACTGGACTGGTCAACAAACACAGACGTTCTGTACAAGAAGGGCCAAAGTCGTCTCCACCTGCTGAGGAGACTGAGGTCTTTTGGAGTGTGCAGGACTCTGCTCAGGACTTTCTATGACTCTGTGGTAGCATCTGCACTTTTCTATGCAGTGGTCTGCTGGGGGGCAGGGAGCACTGAGAGGGACAGGAAGAGACTGAACAGACTGGTCAGGAGGGCAAGTTCTGTCCTGGACTGTTCTTTGGACTCCCTGGAGGAGGTGGGTGAGAGGAGGATGTTAGCAAAGCTTGTATCCATCATGGACAATCCCTCTCACCCACTGCACCAGACTGTGGGGGCCTTAAGCAGCTCCTTCAGCAGCAGACTGAGACTCCCACCTTGCAAGACGGAGCGCTACCGCAGGTCATTCCTGCAGTAAGACTTTACAACAAACTGTAATAAAACTGGACTCACACCACCACTTTTTTCTGGTACTTTTGTTCACTGGTACTTACTCATTTGTGTATAGTGTAGATAGTTTTATTTTTCTTCTCCCTTTTTCCTTTTTCTTATTTTTTTTTCTTAATTATTACATTTATTTAGGTTCTTAATATTAGGATCTTTATTTTTATAACTGCATTTTTGCACTCTTTGTCTGTGATGCTGCTGTGACAAAAAAAATTCCCCCGTGGGGGATCAATAAAGGAATATTCTATTCTATTCTATTCTTCTATTTTCTCTCTCTTTAGCCTGCCTGTCCAAATAAAAGCAGATAGCCCTCCAACATAATCTGCAATAGAAGGTGTGATTTTGAAACTTTGCATTGAAAACACAACCTTTGCAGAAAATGTCATTTCAGATGAAATGTTGATGCCTGAAAACAAAGTTGACCTAAAGCTGGAATATTTGCGCCACGCTGCTGGATCAGGTTCAGGCTGAGCTGAAATATGTTCCTCATCAGACAGGAAGCTGAACTCGAACACTCTCAAAGTTTGTGGGTTAAATACTAATAAAAGAAAAACCTTAAAATGAGGTCAAAGAGATGAGCTATATTACTTAATGTGAAGGAAATTAACATCCCTCTAAGCTGAAATGGGATTTGTAATAGATACACTGAATACACTGCTTTATAAGTGTGAGTTTGAGGAGAGGAGGTTTTTAAAGGATTTAGAGAGTCTGTCTCTTTATTCAAATCAGAAGAAAGCAGGGATTTAGAAGATCCCAGCACCTGGTTTTCATGAAAAAGAGTGAATAAAGGGACCACCTGCTGAAGAGGAGTGTTTCTGACTCTGCTGATTTCAGGGAGAAGACTGTATTCAATCATATGTGCTCATGTTGCAGCAACACAAGATCAACAAAAAGCTGAAGCCATTAACTGTTTTTTTTCTTCCACAGATTAGCTGCCTCATCCTCCTGCTTCTGTGATGAAGTAACCATGGCAACGTGAGTAGTATTACCTTGCAACCTTATATTCACATTGTTGTCACTGGTCAGGCATCATACTGTTACAGGGCTAAAAACTTCAACTATGTCACCCTCTCCTCTTAACTGACTGGATTTACACAAACACTGGATCTGCTGTATGCCAATGTCAAAAAGGCCTACAGAGCCACTGCCTTACCACCACTGGGCAGGTCACATAATAACTTGGTCTATCTGCAGATCTGTGTCTGAGATTCCAGACAAATGAATTTACCATTGGGGATTAATAAATACAGTTCTTGTTCCACCCCCCAACCCCCCCCCCCCCCCAAAAAAAAAAAAAAAAAATAATAATAATAATAATAATAACAATAATAAAATAAAATAAAATAGAATAAATTAAATAAATAAAAATAAAAAGCAAAAATATGTTTTATTTGTATAAAGCTTTCATCAAGTGCACAGAACACCAATAAATGTCAGTAACAAGAACAAACCTGTTCCTCAGATACCTGCTACATAACAACAGATCTTAACAGAGATGCATTGATGACATTTTTGTAATAATACAAAAGTGAATAGCATTCAACTCACGGAACTTTCTTTCAAACCAAACACAAACAAAACTGATTGAACATCATGTTTATGCTTCCGAACAAAGGAACTGTTATCAGAATCTTCTCAAAAAAATCCCCAAATGTATTTATTTGTGTTGACAGAAGCAATAGTGTTACAAGCTGTAATTTTTAAGAACCTGTAACTGTTGTAGAAAATCCAGCATAAACTTAGTAAAACAATGCACAGGAGACAGGATGAGATCTGAAGAACAGCCTGGGCCTCTTTTATTGTACAGATGTAGAAATCAGTACAGATGACAAACAGAGTCTCGACCAAGACCAAGGGAAGCCTCCCTAGCTTTTCTTCTGCTCCCTTTTATGCTGTTAGGTGTGTGTGTGTGTGTGTGTGTGTGTGTGTGTGTGTGTGTGTGTGTGTGTGTGTGTGTGTTCTGTCATCATGGGTATGTCATGTCAATTCTCCAGAGGGCTACCCATGATGACATGTTGTACTGTTCTGACCCTCAACTCTTTGTTTAGGCTCGTCTTAACTCTCGCAGACATTAAATGTTCCAACAGAGAGATAGTTTGGGCTCCTGCTAGACAGCCTTGCTTGCAACCTCAGGGTCATGAGGCTGCATGAGCAGGCCAACCTAGATTATTTGTAGCTCCTTACTAAAAGATAATTATTCTATATTTCTTAACCTAAATGTATGAAGAGATTCTCCTACATAACTTTACTCAAACAACAGAGGTTTGTAAAATATCCTGAAAGTGGCCAAAATTTTCCTCATGCCCATATTGAAAGCTAAAGTCCTGAGAGCTGCTTAGATGTCCTCCATGTCCTCTTTCAAGTCTTCCTCTATTTCTTCATTTTCAGAATCCCCAATGATGACTTGCTGCATGTAGTACATGAAAACCAAGGCTACTGTATGTAACTGATCTTATTTGGCTGGACAATACCAGCTCGTAGATGCTGTTGCTATGCTCAGCATTTGCTAAGTTGATCACATCTTTGTATCTTTTGGCACTGAGCACAGGAAGTGTTTCCTGCTGCCTATCCAAAAACACAGAGATCAACTGCTCCACACAATGAAGCTCTGAGTGCTGCCAGACCTAGACGGGTGAAGTAGACCTCCCGCTCAGTGGCACTAAAGCCTGGGATGTGTTTGTATAGAAGCACTGTCATTCATGAGGGAAGGGTTTCTCAGGTCACTGACTTCTTGAAGGATCTTGATAGTGGATTGCCCATCACTCCCTGTTTGAACTCCTGCCCTCTGGGAGGCGCTGCAGGTGTCTTCAAATAAGGACCAGTAGAATCAGGAACAGCTTCTTTCCAAAGGCAATAGCAGGACTCAATCAAGCCAAACCTCTCTCATGCACAACTTGCATAGCACTTCATCTACTTACACAGAATTTTATCTTCTTACAAGTTCATGTTTATTAGCCTACTTTATGTTTTTAATGGTATGTTATAACCTATGTGTTGCTACGAAGCACCTTACTGGAGCAGGGCTCCAATTTTGTAATATATTTGATGCAACAACAATAAATCATTTGATACTATTTAAATAAAATGTCCATACTCTTTTACAGGATCACTTCATCCAAATACAATCACATCACCTGCAAACATCTGACCGAACAAGGACCTCCTGCTGTCTACCAGCTGACACCAAAAAAACTGAATATTGGAACTATAGAAAAAATAACTCTGGGTGAAAAAGATGTAAAAAAGTTAAACAAAACCATCTTACTTGTTGGTGAAACAGGAGCAGGAAAATCTGCTCTGATCAATGCTCTGGTTTACTACGTCATGGGGGTGCAGTGGGAGGATGATGTCTGGTTTGAGATCGTAAAGAAGGAAGAGAAGAAAGATCAGAGTGAGAGTCAAAAAGACGAGGAAAGTCAGAGTGAGAGTCAGACCACAGATGTGACGGTGTACGAGATCTTTGATTTTGGAGGTCAAACTCTGCCGTACTCTCTGACCATCATCGATACTCCTGGATTTGGAGACACCAGAGGGACTGAAAAAGACACGATCATCAGTCAAAAACTGTTTGACTTGTTCCGCTCAGAGGATGGAGTTCATGAGGTAAATGTGGTGGGTCTGGTTCTAAAAGCCAGTGAGAACCGTCTGAGTGACCGTCTGAGGTACATCTTTGACTCTGTGGTGTCTGTTTGGAAAAGACCTAGAGGAAAACATTGTTGCCCTCATCACACACTCAAATGGAATAGAACCTGAAAATGCCCTAAAAGCTCTCAAAGATGCAAAAATCAAGTGTTTATTTCATGTTCAATAACCACCAAAGAAAACCAAAAACAAAGAAAAATAAAGTAGGTTTAAAAAGTGCATGGGAAATAACAAACAGCCAAATGGTTGAATTCACTGACTTCCTAGGAGAGCGTTCACCTAAGAGCCTGATGACAACTGTTGAGGTGTTGAAGAAACGTATCAGACTGACAGCCTGTATCCAAAACCTGCAGGAAAAAATTCAGATGATTGAAGAAAAACAGGCTGTGATCCACGAGACTGAGGAAGCTCTGAAGAAATTTGAAGAGGAGATGAAGACCAACAAAGACTTCACTGTGGAAGTAGATGAGGTCTACAAAGAAAAAGAAAAAATAGATGGTGTTGGGATGTGGTTTTTAGTGTTTTTTGAAGGAGCTGTCACCTGTAACACCTGTGAGGAGAACTGTCACTACCCTGGATGCACAATGGCCTGGTATTCCAGAGACTGTGTGGTCATGGAAAAAGGTTGCTGCACTTCCTGTACCAACAAATGTCCTGCAGCTGACCACGTAAAAGAGAAGTGGAGGTATGTGACCAAGACCAGAAAAGATAAGATGACCCTTCAGAAGATGAAAGAGAAGTATGAAAGAAGCAAGGAGGAAAGTGAGAAAGAACAGAGTCTCTTGGAGGATCTTAAGAAGAAAAGTGAAAAACTCCAGATAGAAAAAGATCAGTGGCTGGAAAAGGCTTACCAGCATGTCCTCATACTGGAGCAGATTGCTCTGAATGTTTATTCACTGTCCACCTTTGTCCACCTGGACTTTCTGATTGAGAAGATGAAGGAGAGAGGAGACACAGAGAAGGTCCAAAAACTAGAGGAGATGAAGAGTCGAGAGGATGAGGGAACCAGAGCAGGACTGTTGCACATGTATGCCAAAATGAAAGAAGCTCATAAATCCATCAAAGAATTGGTGAGGAAAAAAACACCTGTTCATGACATTTAAACACTTCAACATGTTCAGCCTGTTTTTGGGGGTTCTTTAATAACTTCAGTGAAATCAGTTCATAAATTCCACAACTCCTAAATTCAGCAAACAACCCTGATTTTGTTGACCGTTGCTGTCCATCATGTATCTCAGTTTTTCTTGTAGTTAAATCGTTGTTTCTTCATCACTCAGGTGGATTGTACAGATGAAGAGGGGTATGATGCCCCCTAGTGTTGAGTGTTGAGTACAGCAGCCCTGCGCTTTGTCTCTGACACAAACTTCCCACGTTGTACAGGTGTTTGTGTCTTTATCTGCAGTTTTTTTTTTTGTTTGTTTGTTTGTTTGTTTTTTTTGTTTTTTTGTGGTTGAGTGTTTTTTTAATCTTAAATGTTTTCAGTCAGTATAAGTCTGTGATGAATTTTAAATGAACTCTGACGAGGAGTCAGTCTCTCATCAGTTTGTCACATCTTTGCTCATTTTAACCACTTTTATACAGAGGAAGTTAAAGAGCTGAACTCAGGAGGTGAAGACGTTCTGTGTTAAAGCTCAGTCATATTTTCCCTCCTCACCTGTTTGACTTTGTTTTAACTGTAAACTCCTTACTATCATTTTAATCCAAACATGCTATACTTGTGTATTTTTCGTGACTGCAGCATATAATCCAACCTTGATTGATTAAACAGATAAAGTGATTAATAAAGTGATTGATGGATGAACAGTCTTTGCTCAGTGTGTCTTCATTTGATCATCAGCTGGTTTTTAAAGTTGTTCATGATCCTGATCACCTTTCTTAAATACCTGTTTATGTCTCAGACAGCTCCAGTTTATTCAGAGAATGACACTGATCTATTAAAAACGGCAGGAGAAACCGATGACGGTTCTTGCAGTCACCAACAGAGGGCGCTGATGAATAAGTTTTTAAAACAAACAGACCAAATAAACTCCTGAAATCTCAGTTAAATAAAGTGAAGCAGTGATTGTTAGTGGATTCAGTTTGAGTGTAAATGACTTTTTTACCTGTTAATAACAAACAGCTGTGTTCTGTCTTCAGCTGAAACACACAGGAGTCTTTTTCTAATCAGAGGGATCACTAAAGGTCTTTCTGTTTCAACCTCAGTCACCTCCACAAAAGGTGTGAGCGCCTGTTTCTGACCTGAGATGATCACTGAAGGAGGAAAAACATCCTGATTTACCTTCTGCTGCTGAAAACCTTTAAATCTGTCAATGAGAAGTAGGGCTGCTACCATTATTGGATTAATCGATTAAAGTTCGACAGTCAAAATCACCGAAAACTATTTTCGACATAATCGTTTTTTTTCCCGCTTTGTTTTTCGCTCAAAAGTGCCGCAGTACCCTCCGCTTATAGCCTCCAATGTGTGTGCCTTGTCCTGGACGCACGTGTGCTGTAGAGCTCTCAGGCTGTTGCTGCGTCCGAATTGCCCGCTTGCATACTACATACTACTGCTACATACTACTGCTAGATCCTACTCCTACATACTAAACACGTTGGCCCAATTCGGACACACTAGACAAGCAATGGGGAAAGACGACCCCCGCAGGCAGAGAGTACAGAGGTACTGCGCCCTTGCAGACAGTTTAGACTCTTTGAATGGTAATTGTGCAAGTGATGGATGCTGCTGTATAATATTCCTGCACTGCTTTAGAAATTCACAAAGTAGCTTTTCCATTACTTTTAGACTTCATTCACTCACGTGGTGATCATTTGTTCAATGAGATCTGCCTGATTACTGCAGCTGTGCAGTTTAATGATGGAATAAGTGAGCTTTACCTCCATGATGTCGCCACATATTTGCTCATAAAATGATTACTTGGGCAAATATGACACCATGACATGACAAAGAGATACAACCGCACATTTTTTAGGACAGTTTGTGAAGTTACATGAAACTTACATCTGTACTGCTGCGGTCTGCCTGCTGCTGCTCCGCCATGGTGCGCGCTGCTGTGGCCAGCCGGCGTTTGCGACGCATCTAAATAGGCAGCGCTGGCGCTAGCATCACATGCACTTCTACAACTTTTAAGAGGACGAAGAAGAAGCCCGTGGTGCATTTTGGGTCAGTAGCATGCCCGTAGGATGCACCGCGAGCATACTACAATGTGGGCGTGTCTAGTATCTGAAGTAGTATCTGAAGTAGCATGCTACTCGCTCCGGTGGCCAATTCGGACATGCTAAATACTCCTTCGACTACTACTTCGACTACTACTTGGCAATTCGGACGCAGCATGTGTCTCATTTCAGAGACCGCACCGTTGAACGGCGCATTTAAAGCGTGTATGATATCATCACACGGAGCGAACAGTGTCCCATTTGGCACGAATTGCTAAGCGCACTGAGCATTTTTCAAACGTGCATTTATGCACGCTTTCGTGCCGTTGGTATCCCAGAATTCTTTGCGTGCTGCTGCACAGCTGCGCATTTCGGGTGAGAGGCTGGACTCACTTGGAGACGCACCGCGTGCTCAAAGAAAATAAAAAGACGCACTGATCCGCTCTACTACAACAATCAAAAACATCAGAAATAAGAAAGCTGACAAAACTACAGCAGAGGATCAGGACATCATTGAGGTTTTGTTTCTTTTAAGATTTAGAGATTAAAGTGGTAAATTTAGGAGAATAAATTCATAAAGCTGCTTTTGTGGAGGGGGAAATGACTGAACCGGTCATCTGCAGGGTTATCTGTGGATGTATCAGCGGGTCTTTCAGAGAGTTTTTGTGGTTTCTGAAGAAACAATCCAACTGATGATAATCAACATTTGTGATCCAGAGGGAGTCGAGCTCCGACGAGCACCACGTCTCTGACACCGACGGTAACCTACACCTGCAGAGACACCAACATCTCATTTTGGCATATGGATTCATATCATAAATTAAAGCCCAATGTCATTCACGGATATTTACGGCTGCATAAACGGATATATCCTAAGCATATTCATTTCTGCCTCCACAAAAGCAGCGATTCCCTCAAAGTCCACCTGTTTTTTTTTCCCTGTGGAAAAGACGTATTTCTCATATATTCTTTTTTAATGCGGACCTGCCATCAAAAATGTAATTTTGTGTGTTTTTGTGTCAGATAAGGTCCATATTTTGTTCGTCTTCTGTTGTAAATGGGAAAACAAACCGTTATGTTGTTTGCATTCTGTAAAAGTTTAAAAAAAAGAAACAGGTAAACCAGGTCAATTGAAAAAGCAGGTCCTTCTGACGTCACGCTGACCTTGCTCATTATTATTCACGAGCGCGTCCTCAGTGAGCTGCGCCCACTCTCTCGTTCTCATACTCATTCAGAGTCAACATCACTCTCCAGCCAGAGCGAGACCCAGCTATCACTGTACCCGCTATGGGTCTCTTCCAAACGACCGGTGTTTCCTTGGGTTCACTACCGGGAAAATGAACTTAAAGCTGGACAGAATGAATGAGAAAACACCGCTGGAGCTCTCCGGCTTCTTCTTCAACTTCCACCTCCTCTTCAGACTCGGTTGTTAAAATTAGGGCCATGAAGCATTTAAAGGAACTGTGCTTTAGTATAGGTTTCACAAACAAGTATAAAGACTTAAAAAAGAATATATGAGAAATACGCCTTTTCCACGGGGGGAAAAAACAGGTAGACTTGGAGGAACTTTGCTTTAGTGGAGGCAGAAATGAATATGCTTAGAAAATATCCGTTTATGCAGCCGTAAATATCCATGAATGACATTGAGCTTTAGTTTATGATATGAATCCATATGCTATAATAAGGTGTTAGTGTCTCTGCAGGTGTAGGCTAACGCCGGTGTCAGAGACGTGGTGCTCATCGGAGCTCGACTCCCTCTGGATCACAAATGTTGATCATCATCAGTTTGATTGTTTCTTCAGAAACCACAAAATCTCTCTGAATGACCCGCTGATACATCCACAGATAACCCTGCAGATGACCAGCTTCAGTCATTTCCCCCTCCACAAAAGCAGCTTTATGACTTTATTTATTTTATGACTTTATTCTCCTAAACTTAAAACTTTTATCTCTAAATCTTAAAAGAAAAAAAAAACTCAATGTTGTCCTGATCCTCTGCTGTAGTTTTGTCAGCTTTCTTATTTCTAATGTTTTTGATTGTTGTAGCAGAGTGGATCAGTTCGTCTCTAAATCTACAATGTTTGGTTTGCAGATTTTAGTGGGTTCAGAGATCATGCGTTTATACAGCCTGAGCTGTCTGTCTGCGATTTTTGGATTTCTTTTTCTTTTTTTTAAGACGCGCTGCGTCTCCAAGCGAGTCCAGCCTGTCACCCGAAATGCGCAGCGGCACGTAAAGAATTCTGGGATACCAATGGCACGAAAGCGTGCATAAATGCACGCTTGAAAAGTGCTATGTGCGCTTAGCATTCCTTAGCATTTCGTGCCAAATGGGACACCGTTCGCGCCGCGTGATGACATCATGCACGCTTCAAATGCGCCGTTCGGCGCCGTTCGACCGTGTGGTCTCTGAAATGGGACACAGCCTGAGTTTGGTTTTTCTTTTTAATTTAGTCACAGAATGAGCAGTCTTGAAGAAGAAAATGAAAATGCATTTTGGAAAATTTTGAGTCAAATAGTCATGACTTTGTCATGACTTTGAAATGAAAAAAAATTTCTGCTTATGCTTTTGAATTTAAGATATGAGTCACAGTCGCTTCCATATTGTGCAGCGGCACGCAAAGAATTCTGGGATACCAACGGCACGAAAAAGGGGCGGGGGCAGTGTGGTTTTGAGACCAAATTTGAAACACGCTTAGCATTTTGTGCCAAATGGGACACCGTTCGTGCCGCATGATTATCTCACACACGCTTCAAATGCGCCAGTCAACGGTGCGGCATGTAGCATATCCGATGCTGCGTCCGAATTGCCAAGTAGTAGTCGAAGTAGTGTGTAGCATGTCTGAATTGGCCACCGGAGCGAGTAGCATGCTACTTCAGATACTACTTCAGATACTAGACACGCCCACATTGTAGTATGGTCGCGATGCATCCTACAGGCATGCTACTGACCCAAAATGCACCGCGGGCTTCTTCTTCGTCCTCTTAAAAGTTGTAGAAGCGCATGTGATGCTAGCGCCACCAGCTGCTGCCTATTTAGATGCGTCGAAAAACGCCGGCTGGCCACAGTAGTGCGCAACATGGCGGAGCAGCAGCAGGCAGGCCGCAGCAGTACAGATGTAAGTTTCATGTAACTTCACACACTGTCCTAAAAATGTGCGGTTGT